AGTTTGAACAGATTTCATATCCAATAATGTGACAGAAGATGTAGAATAAGTATTCTTATTACTTTGTGTATTGACTTCACAGTGTAGGTGGAGGAGAGAAATTCCATCAGACAATAAAATACGACATGATCTGAAAGGTGAACAAAAAAATTCATCGAAGCGAAATAAGAGAAGAAAAAAATAATATTATTACACTTACTAGAACAAAGAAATGGATGTGGAAGTTGCGTGGAATGAGCAACGAGAAGTTCACTGAACCATTTAGCGAAAGACTTGAAATGACTTTCTTTATATATATTTTTTCAAGTCTGTTGAATTCTTTAAAATTTTTCATTTGCTTGCCCACACATAATTTTTTGCTTACTTTTAATTAAAAAATCAGCAATAAAATTGAACAATAAAGTAAGTTGATGGCTGAGCAAACATTAAAAATTCATGATTAAAACCCCTATTCACCGTTATTTCATGTCACACTTTGCAACTTCTGGTAAATTATGCTGCTCAATATTAATAATGTGATCAAAACTTCCGTTCGAAGAGTTTTTTACATTTTCAAAATGTAAAGTCAGGTTGTGATGAAATTAAAATTTTATGGTAATTCAGAAATAATCCTAGGGGGTCGTTCACTAATGACGTCCGAAATTAACGGTCATTTTTCAAAAAAGAACAATGGATTTCCTAAGATTTCTATTGTTCTTTTCTTGCTGACCCCCCCCCCCCCCCCTTCTGGACGTCATAAGTGAACGGCCCCTAGGCTATTCTTCAGAATAGTTAAATACAATCGCTGATCGTGCTTGTTCTTTGAAATTCATTTTATTACAAAAGTTATTTTTAATGTGAAGCTTAACAAAACTAAAATTTAGTAACGATAATGATACATCATATATTATTATGAGTTGCTTTATTACTAATCTATTCATTGCTATAAGTTAAAGAATGTTGTTTAATTTTTTTTTATCAAATTTCTTTGATGTGATTGGTCACAAACTTACTTATTTACTTCGCTGGCTATACAAATCAATTGTGATCCATAGTGTGCCTTAGGTGGCGCTTAAAGCTAGCTTTATGACTGGCTACTGCTTGCTAATTACTAAAATTAAGTACAGCACAATCAAATGAGATTGCTGCAAAATTCAAAATATTAAAATTGATTTTTGAAATCTAATGTGTCTTAAAATTGGAAATCATATTGAAAATCTTGTAGATTGATGAAGATTTAAGTTACAACTGGGAAAATCAAAGAGCTCAAGCTATCTTTCTTCATCAATAAAACTCTATCCAACTATCTAAGATCCTCCAGAACTGATAAATTTTAATATTTCCAACTGTAATTAAGAACATCAATCATGAATTATTTTAATAAATTCATTTAAATTCACTTTTAATTCTGATAAAAAAAAACTTTACGCTTCCATTTATTAATAAAAAGCATTCCTTTAACAAACCCAATTTTCAAAAATTAATTTATCAGTATCGTCATCATTTTGTTGTTTTTATCAACGACAATGCCTTACTTCAGTCGTGGCTTATTCTGACTCATACTACAATATTGTTTTTCATTAAATACAATAAAATATTTTCGTTTTAATGCTGAAAAAGAAAAACAACATAAATGCTTAATAGAATGAAAGAATAAAGGAGAAGCAAGTTACTGAGTCATCTTGTGTGTGTTCGTGTATTTGTATGCATGAATAATAATATCAGCTACTTAAACTTCTTAAAACTCATTTATGTTTTTGTTCATTCTTTCTTATTACACTTTATTCTATACAAGCCACGAATTCGCGCCTAAAATTACTCAACTGACCAATATTCTTAATAAACTCACCAAGACTCGATCATAATGTCTGTGTCTAATTTTTCAAAAATTTATTGTAATGAAAAGAAGGAATGGTGTTAAATGCTGTCATGACATGGAGCTAAAATAGCACAACTAAATCCAAACACGAACGAGCTTCACCTTTTCATTTTTTTTTTTATAAAGTTTTAATCGTCGACAGGTCTTAACACGATTTTTTATTGAGAATATTAAACTTATTTTATTGAGAATTAAAAAATATTGATTCAGTTTGGAATGAAGCTTGGGTTTTGCAGCTGTCAAACCTTTAGTAGATGATCATTATTGTTGAATGAAGTAGTTACTTGTTTTTATAGATCTTTTAAGCTTTTCTAGCTATAAATCAGAATTTATTTACATTATTGTCTGTAAGTTAAATTGTTATTTATTGTCATCATCTGAGTCCTTTAACTCATAACTCAACAGATGCGCTAAATGTCAATATAATCATAACTTCTCATCTTTGATGTTTTTGTGTGTGATTCCAAAAATGTTAGAAAGACGGGATAATTTCAGGCATGCAAAACTTGAAACTTGTTTCTTTCTCTCTTGCTCTTCAATTCTTACTTATTCCCATTTATCGACAAAATTACGACATCAAATCGTTCGAAGGTTATGTCATGCACACATATCTTTATGAATATCATTGTACTGTATATTTTATTGATTTGCGGGGAATTTCTTTTTATTTATCTCTTTTTGAGTTAAATTGTAATCATTCAGACATTCATTCTTGATCAGACGTGACATCGACATACAGTCGAGACTAAAGGTGCTGATTTTCTTCACATTCCTTTTACGGTACACGACTTTATATAGCTTTATGTTGTACATCCATCATTTTTAATTTCGCACTAGCACAGCAAATTGATGATTACAATAAATGCAAATCTACTTTTTTTTGCGTATAAAAACTGATGTTAATGTAAATTGCATTAATTCAATTTTTCATCACATTCCCATTTATGTAAAGTAGTTCTCATTAATTGGATGGAGATTTAATATATCTTGCTTAATTTGAAGGACAGAGATAAATTGTTTTGTGTATTAAATTAATAAAATTTATTGTTTTTAATCTCCCTAGTTCGATTAATAAAATTGAATTAATTAAAGAAAAAGTTTTGAAAACTTCCGAAAAAGATTTGCAATTATTCATGGGGGGTGGTATTAAAAGGGTATTAGTGGAAGTATTCAGTTTAACTTTAAGAATAACATTGAAAAGTTTTTAATCCATTATTTCTTTATTATTGGAAGAAGAAAAATTTTAACTTTGACCTTTTTTGTAGATTCTTGCCTAGATATGGAACTGGTTTTAATATTTTTTAACATTAATGACTTAGAAGAGCTATTGAAAGTGGAATTTGTAGTATAGAGTCATATGTTGGCGAATATGCCAGTGCAATTCTAAGACCTCTGTGGCCGAATGGCTAAGCACCAGTTTGAATATAAACAGCCTTCTTTTGTGAGAACGTGGGTTCGATTCCCACTAGAGATAAACCTTCCAATCTATTCCATTAGAGCCTTGTCGATTTGACAAGAATTCGAAAAATGCTCACAGCCTCTAGAAAGTTCAATTAAAACAAAAAGATATTCAGATCATTCAAAAGCCAACAACAAAACCTAATGACGTAGAAATTTGCAAATAACAAAAGCAATATATTAAACATTTTTTTTTAAAGAGCAGCAAATAAGAAAATATTGAAAGTCTGAATGAAGTCGATTATATCTTCAAATACCAGAAGCATCAAATATTTTTCAAAATATCAAGAAGAAATGAGGTCATAAAAAAGAGAAGAATAAAGTGATGGATGAGAATCGAAATAATCTTCGATTAAATTCCTCAATTCGATTATAATAACTTGTTACATTAAGCACATACTTAGTCATTTTTAATTCAATGGGTGAAAATTTTTTCCACGTTTTTCAATCTCACATAATCTCTTTTAAGCCTCTGTAAAACTTTTATGTTTTAATTGAAAAAATGTCTTCTGCATGATGCTAGCTGGAACTGCTCATCAAATGTTATCTATCAATATTTTTAAAGCCAAAGCCTCTTTACATCATTCATAAAAACCAATATTAATACACTTAGAGGAAGCATGTTTATGGCAGCGTGACTGCAATTCATTTTCTCGATAGTATTGATTTCATTTCTTCTTAACCAAAATGTGCTGTACAATGAAAAGTTGAACAGAATGAAATATTTATTACCGTTTTAAAGACAGATTTTTTTTGTATATTTTAATTCTTAGAATTAACATTGTTTTTGCGATTTTTTTGATGAATGAGACAGATTTTTTACTCAACTTGAGTTCTCTTGAGGCATCAATATGTGCTAGCAGAGCACATTGTTTAAAATAATACTTAAGCTGTCGTGTAGGCGCTACTTTAAGCTTCAAACGCATTTTTTTTTTTTTCGATATGATATTGAAATTGTTTCCTGATAATTCTAGAGTTTAAGTTAAGTCTAATTATGAAAATGATATTTAAGCAATCAAACCCGAACTCTTTTCTGAAGTTCCCTAGAAATAATTTATTTTTACAATTTACAAGTGTTTATTGAAGCTTTCAGCAGTAAAATAAACTATGTAAAATGTCATTAAAATCCAAAAATATCCACCATAAACCAAACTCTTCAATTTATTTTTTTATGGATTGTATTATGCATTTTAATGGGATTCCAAAATGCTAATAAAATCCATTTTGGAATTTATTTGCATATTGTTTAGGCAATGATTGAATAAAGTCATCATAATAATGTTTATTATATCTTGGGATAGGAAAATTCTTCACTCAAGAATTCATCATTATTTTAGCAACATAGTCATCTCTTATTCATTCAATAGATTCTGTTTCTGTGTACTTCAGTTATGGTACTTGCCAGCATTTTCTATTCATCATTCAGAATGTCAATAACTTATGTAGACTGATGTCATAACGAAATTGGATAAAAATGCTAATTTTAAATCACCGGTTATTGCCAAAACAGATTTATTGCATCTTTGATCTCCAATTAACCTTTTATACAAGAAATTAAATCTTCCGGCATTAAAATATCATTTACAGCATAATTTAATTACTCTTATTCTTTCATTGCAGTCTCGCATTAATCAGCAAAGAGCTCAATCTACATCAAACTTTAAATAACTTTTCATAAATATACTTAAGAATTTAAGAATGGCCACACCAGCATTAAAAGATTTACCAAAAGTTGATGTTGACTTGAAGAGTCAACTTGAATCATTCTCACCAACAGCACTCAAGAGTGCAAGCACTGAGGAAAAGTGCTTACTTCCAACAGCCGAAGGTAAGAACATGGAAATTAATGCAAATTTATTATGATGCAGATAGGCACATTTACCTGTTAAACACAGATAAGATTTTATTCATAGAATTCAAATATCCTCAAAGCTATGCTCAGCATTTGATGATCGCGTGACATTCGTGTCTAAAAGCGATGATATTGTTCTTAATTATTTCACCGACCAATTCATGCTTGGTTTTTCATTAATAACTTCTATTGTGCCTGAATATTTATTAAGACAGAGAATTTAATTTAATTTCAAACATTTTCACCTTCATGAATGAGAATCCAAGAACAGTATGGACGATGGAGAAATTAATTATGAATCTTTTTTTAAATAATTTTTGGTTCACTGCTCTACATTAATTAACATAAATTCTTCAACTTCCACATATGCTGCACAAAACTCGTTTCTTTCTCGTCTCATTGCTTGTCGAATTTCCATAAATTTCAAATTTATATAAAATTTTTTTTATTTCTTTCTCATTCATTCGCGGACGATTAAATGAAAATAATAACCACACTGGAAAATCCAAAAAAAAAATAATAGATTTGATTGAAGAGCGTAAACATTTTGATATTTTGAAAAGCGTTGAGGATTTTGACGCATCGCAATTAAAGAAGACTGATACTGTTGAAAAAGTAGTGTTGCCAAATGATGAAGGTTCGGATTGTTGAAGAGTGATGAGCTTTTGTGTGAAACTGACTCATTAATTGTTTAATTAACTGTTTGATAGATCAGATTTTAACATTCACGAGTTCTGCTTAGTCTAATCCAGCTACTACCAAAAAAAATCTATTTTTAAACTTGAAACTTAATGCTTTAAATTCTCATTTCAGATGTTAAAATGGAAAAAGTTCAACAACTTGTTTCCGGTATCGAAGGTTTTGATTCCACTAAATTGAGACATGCGGAAACGCAGGAGAAGAATTCATTGCCTGATAAAGATGGTAAGTAGCATGATTTAAAATAATTTAATCCATGTTTGTATAATTAATCACAAATGCATGATGAGTTTGTGTTCAACGAGGTGTTGAGCATTAACAGATAATTATTGTATGATGTGTTCCTGCACCATGAAAAGAATTCAAGCACATGGAAAGGAATGCCAGCATTAAAATATTCTTAAAGGAAAGAACTGCAAATAATATTTTAATGCTGACACTCCTGCAATATTTTAAGACTTCCTTGCTTTATATTTATTTCCATTATTTTTTTATCTAAATAAATTGCATGTTGTTTATTAACTTAAACTTGTAAATAAAGCTGTTGCTGCCGAAAAGACTCACAATGCTTTGATTTCTGGAGTTGAGCATTTTGATAAAACCACAATGAAACATGCAGAGACTGAAGAGAAGAATCCTTTACCACCAATCGAAGGTTTGTTGCTATTCATGTGTCACTGATATTTTTAGCAAATTTTTGCATCAATTTATGTTACGATTATTTTTGATGGATAGCTTTTACGGCATTTTCGCTGACTAAAGAAATGAATCGATTGATTCGTTACTTCTTGTAGCATAATCTGATTAAGTTGAATGCAAAAATGCGCTGTACTTTGTATACATCCCTGCTATCCGAGCTTTGCATGATGTTTTGTGTGTACATATGTTTTTCAACCTGTCACATAAATTTATCTTTCATTCTAATACCTTTTTATTCCTCTTCTTAATGTCTTTCTTTCTTAAATATTTATAGCAATTCAACAAGAAAAGTCTCAACACGATTTTATTAATGGCATTGAACATTTCAATAGAGATTCCTTAAAACATGCTGAAACACAGGAAAAGAATCCATTGCCAACCAAAGAAGTTATTGATCAGGAAAAGGCTGCTTAAACAGTCAAACGCATCATATTTTTTTAATGTATTCTTTTATTTTAAAAGTGAAAAAAAGCTCAGCTGTGTCAAAAATTAATAAGAAAAGCATTAAAATTGTCCTTCCATTCTTTTTTAAAGCTGCTGAGTGCACATATTGTATTCTTTCTATGTATTATGAGGAACTGAAGTTGATTGTTAGGTCTATAAAAGGAATTGAATATATTATGATTCCTAGTGAGTCGTGGTAGCGTGACTTACAATTATAAGCTTTTAAAAATATGAACCATACAAAATCCAATGATCAGGAACATTTGTGTGGTTCTTGATTGTGTTCGAATAGATTTGAAGAGTTTTTAAGCTTCAATCTATTTAACCAACTTCACTTCCGAAAAATCTTGATAAGCTTCAGTCCACAATTGTCTTAATTTTCATTTAATATATAATTTTAAAATTTTTTAACCATCATACCTAATTAATTGTTAAATTGTATCAAATATGCATTTTCCATACCACATACATAATATACATTTTAGAATTGAAAATTTTAAGAATGAATAAAATTCAATTGGATTTAAAAATACACATAAATGTAATGATAATATCTAATCCTTTGAAAAAATGTTTATCAAATGAATTGGCTTTAAAGCAAAAAGCGCCGAAATTTATATTTTTGTATACTGAAAATCTTTATGGATGTGTCCCATCTTTCCGAAAATTCATCTTTATTTCCATTAATTAAGATTATTGAGCATAAATTTTAACTCTTTATAAGCACTAATCATATTAGTTATCAGTAAATAAACATTTGTGTCAATTTTATAAAGAGAAACGAAAATTCCTTTTTTGACTCTATTGTTAAAGATTTGGTTGGTTCTAGTTCTTTGATTTAAGGTATTCTCGATTTGATTCTTCAGATTAAGAATTCAAATTCCACAAGATCAATATCATTTTGCTCAATTTCATACCAACACACTTGAGCTTTAATCAACCAAATCATTTTCAATACTCAATAATGAATACAGTTTGTGATTTGTCGCCAGGAAAACAAAATGAATTGAAATGTGAAAGATATTTTTGATATAAGTTAAATTGCGTCCAATCAATTGAATTAAATTCAGTTTTTAACTTAACGAATAAAGGAAAAGATGCATTCAGATTTTAATTAGGTGCTTTGAGCAAACATTTTTGAAAATAAGAAAATTTTAATGTCAAAATGGATGGAAATCCAGGAATTAAATTATTTAATTTTTTGAGCAAAAAAAATCAATAAAATGGAAAAATAATAAAAAAATCTTTTCAAGTAATTTGTTTGTTGTTTTATTCTTTTTGGTTGAAGGAACTGATTACTCTAAGAAGCATTTACTATTGATTTGGATCAACTTAATTAGATTATGCTCTTAAAAACAGCATACATCGAGTAGACGAATTGAATAAGCTTTGAATTGAAAAAAAAATATTTAAAATTTGTATGAAACTCAAAAGCTAAGCATCTTACATCCATAAATAGTTGCAAATCTATTTCAATAAACGTTAAAGTCTGAAAGATAATCTTCCTTTTCAGATTTTCCGAAAAAATAATCATGAATTTCTGATGTTCAGGAAGAGAATCAATCCAATCACTTGAGAACAAGTCATACAAGAATTTGTCACTCTGATACTTTATAGTATTCGCATGAAAGCAAGGGATGAATATCATTCCAAAGATGAATATCTCGTAGACAATTAGAAAAAGATCTAATTTCAATCCTGAATTGGGCTGGTTAATATAATTAAAATTTATATAATTTCTTTAAAATTTAAAGTGTACCTTCAGTGTCAAAATAGTAAAGGTATTCGCACAGACAGATAGTGCAGCAAAGAATAGCAGACCAATAATTGGAAGCGAGAATATTTCCGTGAAGATGTCCATAAACCTATTTAAATCATTCAGTTAAAGTTTTTTAAGAATGTTAAAATAGTTTCTCAATACTTATTCATTTCTCGATGAATCTTGACGCAATCTACAAGTTGATTCTTTGCTTCAATGGAATTTTCTTTTGATGCTCGCAATCGTTTTAATTTGTCTCTAAAAAACTTCATGTAGCAGTTCAGAACGATAAAGATACTTAATTGGAACTCGTAGATCAAAAGGTATAAAACTCCACAGTACAATCCACTGAAGCTTTCAAATATCCAAGCAATAATAAAAGTTATCTGATGATCCTTAACACTTTCAGGAATGTAAAGAGGAAATATAAGCTTCTTTAAAATTAGAGGGATAGAAATGAACGGAACCGCGAGTAGTCCGATGAACACGACTTCACACAAAAATAAACGCTTAACAACTTTAAAAGCTTCATCAAAATAATTTTTTGAGTCTGGTCTTAGTTCCTCGATGTTTTCAATCAGTTCTAATAATTCTCGAATTTTTGGTTTCTTAAAGAGGAACGTGAGCAACGAAAAATTAACGGTTAAGAGCAGTGGAGCAACTTTTATAATCTCAATAACATCATCAAGTTCCTTTACTTGAAGAGCAGAAAGAGTAACAATTGCAGTATATCCAACTGAACATATTAAGATCAAAAATATTGAAATTCTCTTATGCCATTTTGAAATGTCGTTCCATAAACCAAAAATTGTAGAAATCTTCAAAATTGTCTTGTAAGGTTCACGTTTTGGAATCATCTTCAAAGACTTTTTCTTTTTCAAGTAAATCCTGTACCTTCTGATTCTTTACTGAGTATTAAACATTGTCCGCCAAAGTATTTAAAGATATTGGAGAACAATGGAACATAACTATTGCCATTCGATATCGGAATGATGCGATATATGTAATTTAAAAACGAATTACATACTGCAACTGCAATTTATTGTTTTTTTTTGTATGTTTTGGTTCATTTCTAATGATAAGTGTAAACATGGAATTAAGTATTATTACTGTTTAAAATTACATAAAACAAATTATATACAGATATATATATGATTAGGGGCCGTTCACTTATTACATTACGCAAAAAAACGACTTTTTTCACCCCCTTCCCCCCTTGTTACAATATGTTACAACTCACACCCCCTCCCTTGAACGTTCATAATTTATTTTATTTTGATAATTTTTTTTAAAAGACAGACGACAGTTAGAACGTTACATACTTCTTGACATAACCCACCCCTATGTTACATTTTGTTACAATTTTTCAACCTCCCCCTCTTCCCTAAAATGCGAACAATTTAACAAGGTTGATTTACTGACAAGTTGTAACTTGCAATTTTCGAAAAATTCTTATATCGACAATCTATTCCTTATTTAAGAACATGTTCTTTTTGGATTCACAATTACTAATTACTCAACATTTATTATGAAGATGGCAATTTGTGTTTGATCATTCAATGCTCTTAATCCTTAAGACTTTGAAGGACAGCATACATTGAATAAACGACCTTGATGATCTATTATGAAAAAGAAAGTTTTTAAAGATTGCATAACTTAAAAAATCTCAAATTGTACCTGTACAAAAAGCAGCAAATCAATTTCAACGAATCCTAAAACCTTAAAAACAATTTTTTTCTTCAAATTTTCCATGAAAAACAGCACCAACTTTCGATATTTAATGCCAGATTCAATCCAATCACTCATATACAAATCGTCCAAGAAACTATCACTTTGATATTGAATAGTGTTTGCATAAAAGCATGGAACGAGAATCAGAAAAAAGACAAAGATCTCGTAGAAGATTGAAAATATGTTTGCATTTAATCCAGCAGTCGACTGAAAAAAAATAAGCACATTAAAGAATATTTGAGGCTGTAAGAAAAATAAATTTACTCCAAAAGTAGCAATTATGAACGTGTTTGAACAGACGCAGAAGGAAGTTAGAAAAAGCAAAGTTGAGAGCTGTAGTGAAAATATTTCCATGTACATTTTCATGAACCTAGGAAAATTAATTAAGTATATATAGAACTAAGTTGATCCATCACTTTAGAAAAACTTACTTCTTCATCTGGAGATGAATCTTTACACAGCTTGCAAGTCGTTCCTTAGAATCTTCGTAATTATCCATTGTGGCTTGTAAGTCATTCAATGTTTTGCGAAAGAACTTCATGTAGCTGTTCAAAACAATCAACAAGCTGCACCGAAATTCATGGACTGGTAGGTGTAAAGCTGCTGTATAAAATCCACAGAAACTTTCATAAATCCAATAGACATAGAAAGTTGCTCTGTAATCTTCAAATATTTTGGGTATATAAGCAGGAAACATCAGCTTTTTAATTATTAACGGTGACAAGAAGTATGAAATGTAGATTATGACAATAAATATAGTTTCCACCGCAAAAATTTTCTTAATAAAACCAAAAGCTTCATCGAAATATGACTTTGATTCTGGATGTTCCTCTTCGATTTCTTCCATTAGCTCTAATAGTCCTCGAACCTTAGACTTCTTAAGAATAAAATCGTTAATGGAAATTGCAATCGTTAAAAGTATTGGAATAACCCTGATGCCTTCTAGTGCATCATTGAGATCCTTAGCTTGCAAAAGAGACAGCAAAATAATCGTGCAGTATCCAATTGAACTAAAGAACATCACAACTATAGCAATCCTCTTCTGCCACTTTGGAATTTCATTCCAAAATCCAAGAAAAGTTAATACTTTGAAAATTGTAGTGTAAGGTTCACGTTTTGGAATCATATCTTCTTTTTATGGTTTACTGCCAACTGTTTTTGCAACAGTACTAATAAGAAATTTCTGTCCTCCCAAGTATTTAAGGATATTGAAGTCCATTCAACAGACAATTCATAATTGTAGTTGAGCGATCTGTAATTTCAATATCGGAATGCTAAATGTATAATTTCATGCTCAACTGCAAATTTAAATGGATCATCAATTTTTCCTGATGTTGACATGTTCACTATAAATAACTGTTGTACTGAATTTAGAATCCTACACATCAAACGATTCCACCTGATAAAATAAATGATTTATTGCCGTTTACAAAACTTAAGCTTAACGTTACTTGATTATTTAATGTGAGACAGTGATGTTGAGAGCCTTGTAGCTTGCACTTCCTTCCTCAGCAGCCTTCTTTTGGACTTCTTTAATTGCAAGCAAAACTTTTTTCGGTTCTGAACAAAACCATATGTAAAGTAGTTCTTTCATACGGTAAAATTTATCATTTGAATACGGTTGAATGATTTTAGTCTGGAAATTATATTTCAGTTCCTGGAAAATTTTCTCAAATTCCTTCTTTTTACTTTGCTTTTCATATAACGGAACAATGAATTTAGGATCATACAGTCGTGGCTTATTGGTCGGTCCACAAAATATCAAATCTCGAAGAATGCTTGACTGCTCATCACTAGAAATAAAATTTGGATATAGAACTGACACTTGAGTGACACATGGATATGATTAAACATTGGGAATCAAATATTGATATGCGTTATTTATAAATTGATATAAATCATCCCAAATGTCAATCAAACTTACATCATTTTTATGGTTTTCTGGATTTTGTTGTAGTGCTTCTGTTCAATCAGCATCTGCATAACGGCATTAACTTGAACACCATGATTTATATATTCCATAAAACATTTCTCAATTGATGACAATTCATTCTTGTCACAGTGAATGTTTTCAATGAGAAGTTTTTGGAATGATTTAAGGAACTGATGGCTGTAAGATGAATGATCAACTATCGATAATTGCTTCATTTGACGCTAGAAATGGATTCATTAAAATATGGATTACATAAGAAAATTGTTTTATAGCTTACAATTCTCTTCATGCATTGCTGGGATTGATTGTTCATTTCACTGCTATTGTCTACTCTATTTTTGAGCCTATTAATGTCCATTTGACAGGCAGCCCACATCAATTCGCAGACATAAGCAATATAATCCGTTATTTCATGAACTTGAGTGATTTTTTCAGCACGATTCGTTACTCTCTTATTCTTTCCGATAAAATACTCGTGAAGGATCTTCGTGACCTTTTGTTCTGCTATATCTTTCAGTATCAAATTTCCTTCCAGCATCAGACCATTTAGATGAGCTTCTAGACTTTCTTTCTCCAAAATTAAGGAATCAATGACTGATTTCATTTCAAAAAAGTCACCAGTAATGTAATTTTTGTACTTATCAATGTTCTCAATCACATAGTTCATGCCTGCAACACTCATTTCTTCCTCGAATTTCTTCTTCTGCATCTTTATTATCTCAACTTTTATTTGATATAGGCTGTTAATGTCGGACTCATCTTCAGGATTATACATATCCTCATTTCTCTTACATATATTGAAATTCTGAGTCATGTATGTATCCAACAGTCTCAAAAGCTCATTACATTTCGCAAAGTATAAATCCAGTGGCATTTGGGACATTATTGTTGGTGAAGACTGCTGTAAAAGTATAAATTAGTCAATAATTTCACGGTAGAAGTAGTATGGAACATTACCGGTTGCGTATAGATTTTGTCTAATTGCGCGACTTCCTGGGAATTTGTCTCTTGTAGACTTTCTAATTCACTGGATCTTTTTAAACATTCTTCAGTCAGCAAACGTTCCTTCAATGCAACTTCACTATTGATTCTCTCTAGTTCCGTTATTGTTTTGAGCTGTTCACCTTCAAAATCCTTTATTCTTGACAATCTATCTGATCTTTCATTAATGTCTGCTTCCAATTTCTTAACTTCTGCTTCAAGTTCATCTAATTCATCATCGTTGACTGAGAAGAATCCCGGAAATGATTCTTCAATATTTTTAAGCTCTCTTTCTAGCTCTTCGTCGTTTAAAACCTTTCCTGCTTCAACTAATTTTTCATACTCAAAAAGTTCAAAATTTGTTAAAATATTGGAATTATCGACATTGTTTGCAATGAACTCGAAGAACTTTTGAGCCTTCTCCTCATGAAGAATCCATTTATTCTTTTCATCAAGTCCAATATCCTTTAAAACCTTTGAATTTTCTAATTTATCCATGATTCTATTCAGTCACAATCCAACAAATAACACTAGAAAAACCGTTAAACTGATTAATTTTTGAATTTTTTGCAGGATGGCTAGACATGTTTTTGCCGGAAAATTTTAAATTTTTGTCGTTGAAACATGTCACGTGATTATAAAATCATTAATTAAAGCACTATTGAAATTGATGTCGTTAAGATTCTATCAAATTGTGATATATATAAGAGTAGAGTTACATCAAGTACCAACGATAAATTCGTGCCCTTAAAAAGTCTTCATTCAAATAGTAATAGCATGGCAGGTCTAAAAGGTAAAATTGTAAAATAATTTTGAAAATCAATTTTAAGGTGTTTAGAGTGCATTGACAGGTCTAATATGTTGTGAATCCTATTAAGTGAACAGCATAGCTAATTATGAATGCAAAATACAAATCAATAAGACTTGATTAATAATGAATTTTCTACAATATTTATTTTCATATTTTCATTGTTCCTGTGAAAATTTGTAAACAACAAAAATATTGCAGCGTAAGTATACTTAATTAGATATGAAGGATTATCGTGCATTATATAGACAATAATAAAATCACGTTGAGAACCGACGCACATAAATTTTTGGCATAAAGAAGTCTAGTTTTCTTTGTACAAATTTATGACTAACAATGATTCATACTTACAGACTTATCACTCTCGCCTTTTTCGGCTCAATCGGAGTTACTTTTCTGATTTTGGCGTGTGCTCTACCACAATATAAGTAAGTTTTGGTATAAATGATTGATCCAGGATGTTAATAAGGATGTTTATTTTCAGCCAATGGTGGCCATTCTTTACAATCCTCTTCTATCTAGCATCGCCGATTCCGACGATGATCTCAAAACGTCAAAACTATGATAATTCGTCGTGTCTTGAATTCTCAATCTTCTTAACAGTAGGAATAGTATTATCATCATTTGCATTGCCTATTGTCTTATCCTTAGCCGGAATCATCGCAACAGGAGCTTGTGTACTCACTATTCTCGGTAATGTTGTAGTTTATTTCACATTACTGGGTTTCTTCTTAGCATTCCAAGAAGATGTTGGCTGGCAAATTTAAACGACTGTAACTGAATGGATTCTTTTTTACCAAATACTTTGTTCTGATAAATTTATCAAGATTGATGTCCTGCAAGAAGATATGTAAGCTCATATCCAACATTTTATCAACAGAGCTATCAACGTTATCACTTGCATTACTTTTGTATAGTTTAACAAGTGTGAAAACAAAAACACAAATGACCTTGATAGCAGTTCGAGCAACAAATTCTATTAAATATTCAAAAGGATAGCTTAACTTCCTCGAAATATTACGGAAGTAATCTTTTTTGTTTTTCTTCAGTTCTATCAGATTAATCTAAGATCTAGTGCTTTTTTGTTTAAATATAGTAGATATTAAGGCTTACATACTATAACATTATAATTTAAATAAAATAATAAAAGTGATGCATTAATGTGAAACAGGTTTTGTGAATAATTAAAATTTATATTAATTATTAAGTTCCAGCTGCATTTAAGGATATTATTGTTGTTGCTTCATATTATCAGATAATTTATTTAAAAGGTAAAACATGGAGAGGGCCCAAATTAAAACATAATCTATTGTACCACACACTTTAGATCTACAGTTTACAGTACCTAGTCACAATTCGCGTACGCAAGATGCTGGAATGAAATCATTCAGATGTAAGTATACCTAGCAAAGTAGACGCGTTATTTGCCTAAGACCTCAAAACTACATCAAACACACTATGATTTAAGAACCAGTACCAGCTTTGTTATGGTTTAATTAGCAGTCCAAAGCAGAACAGAATCTTGAATCTATCATATTACATGACTTAATTTAAAGACAATCAAATAGTGACCAGCTGTTTACAAAAGTTCAATCAAACATTGTTTTAAAATAAAGATAAACAGCCATTTGATAACCACATTTTATATCATCAATGTGTACGAAAATTCAGTAAACAACTTCTTTCCTGATCTTGAAAGCTTATTAAAAGATTTACTCCAAATTTTTTGACACACATATGAGTCATGCTACATCTAAATTAAAACCTACAATAGTTTAAATCATAAAAGAATTTGTTTTATTGCCGTATGCTGTGAATAAAGTGCAAATAAACAAGAACTAAGTAAGAAGGAAAGTTGATCACATAGGAGTACAAATGATACGTATATCACAGTAATAGTTTGCTTTTCAAAAGCGTTAGACATTTGATATTGAAGCTATCTTTAATTTTATAACTGCAATTTGATATTACTTGTTTACAGCTATCGATGTGATATCATAAATCAAAGAATTAATCTTAGCATTAAAAATATTTTGAAGTGACACGAAGAGAAAACCCCATGCTGATTAATTAATAACTGAGAATTTAGTTATTAGTGCTGTACATGCAAATCGACTTTAATGACTTTGTGCAATAGTTGTGCAGTTTTTGTCCTCGCTCACACAATGTGGAGATAGATTGTTAATTAATTATAATTGTAGACAATATTGAATAATGTAAAACTATCGCACAGTTCTCATATCATCACTTATTGGGTATGTTTACTTATGATGTCCAACAATGAACGAAACTTTATCGACAGAACATTTTTGTACCAGGCTCGGAAACAAGGCGGTAGCTTCCATTCCATTTTGTTTCTGAGTCTGGCATTTGTTGGTCTGCATTAGCCTAAACTCGACCCAGAAGAAGTGTTTAATTATTTTATGCAAGGAACCAAGATGAGCTTGTATTGTTCCCTAAAACTTAAAAAAAAATTTTATCGTCAATCGCGATCGTCTAGCTAAAACCTTTTTCCATTATCATTATTTCTAGACTCCGAGTAGTATAAAAAATCCCACCTTTTAAATTACATCATTTTTGAAAAATCCGTACTGAAAAACACTTGCTTCAGCTGAGAACTTTTGATACAATAGAAGTCGCATGCAATAAAACATTTTCACTTTTATTATATGAATTGAATTGCGACAGCAGATTGAGATGAAAATAAAATAAAGTATTTTGTAAGTTGATCTGAGAGATTCCTAATATAAAACGCACGTGGTTGTGTATCAACATTGAAGGATATTCCTCTCAGCAATGAGAGAGTGTTGAGAGAACGAGAGCGAGAAAAAAATATCCTGACAGCTGTTTTACTATAAAAGCAATTGCAACAGTGTGAAATCTCTTAGTCTTGTGCCGGAAGTTCTTAGAATCAGAAGTGGTAAGGAAAAAGCGCGAGAAATCGAATAAGTGAAATTAAAAACATTTAGAGTACAGTGCATATAATATTGATGGTGTGAGGAAATTTACATTCCTAAAAATAATACCATTCATTTTCATGAATAAGCACTTCATTAGCAAACAAATTTTTATGGATGTTTATGCAGCATATGAAATGAATTGATTCCATAGATTTCAATGGAATGTGCAAGAAAGAGATGGAAAATGTTTTAATTAGTGAATTTTAATTATGTTGTAAATATTTGTTTCCACAACTAGATTGATGCTTTAAAAATTAAAGATTATAAGGACATAAAAATAGAAAAAAAGTGAAAGTTTTTAAACCTGTTGCTTTTACTACTCCAATACGAATAAAGATATTTTTTGGATCAATCAAATGAAAGTTTAAGGAACATCAAGTCTATCGCTCTTTAAGTGCTTCAAAATAATTTCTTTTTTGTGAAAATGTGAATTTAGATAAATGTAGCGTGAAAATGACTGTGGAATAATCTTCATGATACAATTAAAATTTAAATCTGAATTATTTTCTTAGTGATTATTTGTGAATGGCTTTAAAGCAAGTGCTATCGATTTAACATAAAATGTAAATTATAATTATCTTAAGGATATACCAAAAAATTATAGACTCGGGGTTGGCTCAGATTAAATAATTTATTGTGCTTTTAAACAAAAAGTTTGTGGCAAAATTTTAGATTTTTTTGTTTAAAAACATAAAACTGTTTAATTTATGCAAAAAGTTGTTCTGCATGATTTTTATGCATATAAAAATAATTGAGATATCTATTAAATAATTTTTCATACTTACCTTTTAAATTTGCAAAGTTCTGAAAGGATTGTGCTGTTAATTATTTCTGAGGAACAAAAAAATATCTTCAAGATTAATCTTCATTTTCATCAAAGATCCTATTAAACATACCTCTGAAATTTCTTTGCCATAATCTTAGAATTTTCTTTGTAAGATGTTATTTTGATGTTCAAGTATTCATTTACATTAGACTTTTTTTTATTATGAAAAGTTTTGAACTGTTCAGATTGATATTAAGATATATTCCAAAACGTAAGTTCTGAACCCTTGATTAGATTAATCTAATTTTGAATTGCTCCTTAAAAATTGAAGAATTCAACATCATCTTGAATTGGGTTTCTCTGATCAGAAATTGACTCAAAAAATATTTGAACTTAAAATTCATTAAAGTTCTTGCTGATTTTAGATCCTATTGTTATTTTAATATTGTATTGAAACTCAAATTTACGCAAGAATCACTTCATCTCCAAAAATATTAAGTTTAACACATTAGAAATTGAAATTATTTTGGAATCAAAGCCCACTTTCTCACTTTCCATACAAAATTTTAATTTGGATTAAGTGAAAATTTCATTAAATGTAACCCATTTTACGATAATGCAACACTCTTCCTGACATGATGATAAGAATTCTATTTGAAATCTCGATCTGATGTTTAACTTCCAAAAATATAAGTGCTTAGCCTTGAGATTCACTAATTATGTGGCTTATGTTTCTTGAACAAAAATATTTTTCATCAAAGTTCTTTTTGGTTCCTTTAAAAGGTTTCTGAAAACGTTAATACTTCAAACGTGATAAAGACTTTTTCGAAGAATGAATCTTTAATGATCACTAATTAGATGAAAAATTGATAAATCATGAAATTTGTGGATTTTAGATTCAATTGTTCGAAATGATTCTTGAACTTTTTTGATCGTTTTATGAATTCTTTTAAATTCTTAGACTTATTTTTAAGCTGTTAAAAAATCCAAGGACCAATATTACCTTAAAAAGGAACAGCCCCTGAACAATTCTTACGTACTTTTAAGCACTAAACTAAGAAAATCATGATGAATAGCTTTGCAAAGCTTTTAGAGCACAAAATCATTGAACCAACCCCTGAAATAATTGAATCGTCCAATAAGAAAACATGAATATCTTTGAATAAATTAACTAAGGATCTTTTATTACAGCTTAAAGCATTAAACAACAAAGTGATGCGAACTGTCAAAGTATTTACATAAACCCCCTTAATCAAGTTATCAATGAAATATTTCTGGTGCTAAAGAAATCTCATTTTTCTTTCAATTAAACTTAATTTTTGTGGACGAAAACAATTTTAAAGTTGAATCAAAAATGATTCTTCGTGTGATAAAATTCATAGTTTTATGTGCATTTTTAAGGCGCTTATCGCTGTGTATATGTGATGCTAAGACAAGTGTTGTTGATAAAAATGAAAAGGATAAAAATAAAACGACTTTATATCCGAATATTTTAGAGCAGAAAGAGCGGGATGGTGTAAGTCTTTGACAAAATTCTTTAAATAATAGTTTGAGATCAAAGGAGTTGCTTTAACAGCTCAGAATTCAATGTAAAGTTACAATCACAGTCTTTAACAAAAGCATTTTTTATTATCTTCCTTTAATTAACAAATTCAGTATAAAGTATACAACGTGGGTGTTTTGATGGCTTCTCATCTCAGTGAGTATCATTGTCAGCTTTTCATTAATTCCAAGGCCATAGAACTCCCAAAAAAGTATAGCCGTGAGTAAGCATTGTGCAGTAAAGTATACAAACTATTGAGTAAAATTAAGTTAATATGAGCAAAGTGTAGTTAAATATTGTAAAGTGAAGCAAAGAAAACCAAAGTATAGTAGAATGTAGCAAAAGAGTAGCAAGTGTAGTTTAGGTATAATAAAATGTTGTAAAAGTATAGTCAGTATAGTAAGAGTATAGCAAGTGTAGTAAAAGTATAGAAAGTGCAGCATCTTAAAACTGTTTGAAACTTTAAAAACCAAAATGTTTAAAGTTGATGTGCAATAATTTTGAAATAATGCATATTTTACCATACCATTTATTTATAAATAGTCAATATTATCGCAACTTAAGAACCGCTTATTATTTGAAATTTCTTGAATTAAAATTCTTTTAAGTCTTGAGAAAATATTAACAAAGATAAAATGAATCTTTTCTCATATAAATAAAATAAAGCTGTTAAACTAAATTCAAATATTTCAACATTAAGGATGTCTTCCAAATTTCGAACAACAGTAACGAAAGAAAAGTGCACTCATAGAAATAATTGTATGGTTTTGAGGAAAATCAAATATTCAAATATTTGATTTTTCCGATTTGTATGAAATTTCAAATATTCGATATCTGGTTTTTTTCCAAAACCATACAAATTCTAATATTTTTTTCTATGAGTGTGAGAATCAATGTTTTTGATATTGTTGGTTTTAGGGAAAATGAAATGTTATCAACACTTTTGATATTTATTTTTTAAAAGTTTGTTGGAAAGTTAATCTTGTTGAAATAAAAAACTGGCATATCATAAAATAAATTTAAAATATTCCTTTTCCCTTCATTCAATTTTGAAATGCCAATAAATTGAAACTAATTTATATCAAGCTTGCTTTTATAGCTTTTTTAAAAATTTAAACTTAATACAAATTGTCCTTATTAGTTTTTTTTATTTTAAGGTTGCATGAAAAAATCAAATTCGAGAAGAAATTCTTAAAGCTAAAGTAAAATTTTTCATAATTATTTAATAATTATTAAAAAACATTTCTTCTGAATTTTAAAATAAAGTTTTCAATTAAAAATACTCATCTTTAAAATCAAAAGTACAACATTTTAGGTTTTTTTTAAATTTTTCAATTTTTCTATATGTTACTTTTATTTTTGACAAATTTGTTTTTCCATCAGCTAAATTTGGTTTAAAATGATAGAATAAAAAACAAATAAAGAAATAATATTTTAAATTCTATAACCTTTAGTTAAGTTTTTAAACATTTTCTTTTAAATTTTTTTTGAAAGTATGAGTACAACGTATTAATGGACCACATGTATAAGAGACCTTTAACTATTTAGATTGAAATTATGCACTAATTAATTTGATTAAAAATAAAGGGTAGTAAAGTGTGAAAAATTTAAGCTTAGTGTGGTAAAGTGTACTAAAGTGTAGTAAAGTATAGGTTAGTATACTTAAATATAGTAAAAAGAAGTAAAGAGGAGTTAAGTGCAGTAAAGTTTAGTAATTGCAGTGATTGTGATACATTGTATAGTAAGTTTACTGAAACATAAGTAAAAATTTGTAAAGTTGAGTAAAAAAGTAGTGATTGCAGACACAGTGCAGGGAGTTCTATGGCCTTGATTAATTCTATTATAATAATAATTAATGTGTAAGATTAACTGCGTGGAATTGCTGAGTTTTATTTTTATATAAGACAAGGTGAAGAGAAATTCGTTTAAATTCAGACCAATTTACATAAATTGAGCATTAAGATTATTTGATTTTCTTGTGAAAAGATTTTTACTTCCTCTCAGTGGCGTAGCTAGAACTTCAAAAGAGGGAATTTACATTCAACCTTAAGATATCGGATAACTTCTTTTTTTGGACTTAATTTTTATAAGGGATAGGAGATAATTGTCTCCCTGGGTGTGCCACTGCTTCATTTAATATTTTGCAGAATAGGAAATTCAGACCTGCATCTTAATAATTTGACAAAAGTCATTCACAACAGGAAATCGGTCAGTCAAAGATTAAATACCAAGCAACAGAGAAAAGAAAAATTTTGCGTAGATGTGGGCTCAATTTCTTATTACGTAACACTTTTAAGGAGGTGAAATTTTGTGACAATTCATTTTTGTCTGAAAACCTAAGTTTTGCAGTATATATTAAGTGAGCGCCTCCTTCATCTGGCCCTCAAATTTTGAACATCATTAGCAATCAATCCCCATTTATAAAACAAATTTGGGGATAGAAAAATTTACTAAGATTTACATAGGACCATCATGAATGTTCTAGATTTGTTTGCTTTTAATTTGCTCTAATACATAATATGTGAAGGGAGGATATGCCAAACACATTTTTCTGATGCTTATAAAATGAATTGATTATGATAAAGTGGCATTTCCTCATGATTGTATGAATTTAAAGTCTGCATTTGACGAAAATAATGATTATATTTTGACATGAACGACAAACTTGGTATGACAATATTAAAAAGTTTTAAATAAAATTCTCGAATTCGTGAGCCTACATAACACATAACTCCTATAAAAATTGCTTTATTGTTGGAAGTTAAAAATGTTTCGAATATCCCGAACATAAAATGATGGCAATCATTCCTATTATCACTCAAACGAGTGATGCTATACTCACTCACATACATTAAGTGAGTACGCTACTTTACCCATCTGATTGCCATCACGTGATGGTAATTTTAAAATTGTTGAACCTTTCAAAAATTGAAAAGTTTTGATTGTTGAAAAGTTCAAAAATATAATCAACAATTTTACAAGATATTTTTTTATCCAGAAAGATTTTTTGAATATTTCAAATGAAATATTAGAGTTTATGGAACTTTTGCAATGTAACAATGCAATGTTTCTTGAAAGTATAAATATTTTTTTTTTGAATTGTTATATTTCATTATATTTTATAGAGTTAATTAACGAAAAATTAAGAAATAATAATGCTTAGCTCTATAATTTATGCTTAACTGCTTATAACCACCAAAAAGTTTCATTATCTTAGAGAAACACTTAGGATAACTCAGTTTATTTTGAATTCTAGAAAAGCAGGAAAACAGCTGTTTTTAAAAATCAAAAACCGAAAACAGACTGTTTTTCAAAAACAGCTGTTTTCCACAAACGCTAGTCGTGACTGCCTTCATGACTGCAATCACATTTAACAAGCTAGGGCATCAAATGATGGTCATCAATGAGTGTAGTGTAGGCGTGATTGCCATCTTGATTGTAATTGCAAAAAAATCTGACATTCGAAAAAAAATTCTGTCATTCAAAAAGTTTAAGTTTTTGTGAGTACAGTAACGATGACCATAGTGATGATAGTCAATGTGGTCATCATAGTGATGGCAGTCAGTGAGTTCCAGAGTGATTACCATCACTATGATCATCACTCCGAGTGATCGCCATCGTTGTATGTTCGGGCATGGTTTAATGATCTCCTCCCTCCAGCATCGTCAGCTTTTTTAGAAACTTAAAAACATTTTATATAAAAAATGATGTGAAAATTCCCTTTTTGAAATTTAATTTTGATTCTTGCACACCCACCATGTGCATAGATGTAATGTGTAAGTCAGTTATTTTATAAGCGTAACTCGTGAAGCATATTAAGTTACAAATGCTGAGACACGAGTTGGATTTAATGTGGGAATTCTGAATTATGTTGTAACTTATGACATGATGTGGTGAAAATTTGTTTAAAAAAGTTTACAGCATGCAAATTAAATTATGTCTGAAAATCAGGAGAATGTCATGTTAAGTAGAATTAATTGTTTTCGGAAGGGGTCGTTCACTTATGATGTCCGAAATTAAAGGTCATTTTTCAAAAATGAACAATGGATTTCCTGGAATTTCGATTGTTCTTTTATTGCTGCCCCCACCTGAACTTCACAAGTGCCCCCGACTATAAAGTATTGTTTTTAACATTTTTTGCATAACTTAAGACAATCCACAACCCCATCTATAGTTAACAGAGGTTGAACCTTTAAATTGTGCAACAGCATATCCATTAGGATTAAAAAAATTCATTTATATTTATTCTCATTTGTAAGCACACACGAGAATTTTATCATCCCCATTGAAAGTTTCTTTGTAAAGGCATCAACCTTTCATGTCGTCTATAAAAATAAAAGTGAAAGTATTGTCATCTGCATCTCCCTAAAGGATTCACTAGATTTCGTGCTATGATCCTTATCATTAAATAAAAATGTACTTTGTAGGGTCATGAATTCTGATGAGAATGCCACGCGTTAAAAATCATCTTCCTTCCTTTGTACGTTTACACGTATGGAAGTGCTTTGCTTTCCTTTCATCCGTAGTTGCTTCTTATTTCGAAGCTATTTGTTTGTTTTTCTTTTTGTGTATCGCATTCATGTGGTTGTAAGTTGGATGAAATAATATACAGCATGAAATATGAGCCGAATCTTTAAGCTTTCACGAGAAAAATAAAACGAGATGGGATGAATTTAAGGAGCTCTTTTACATTAACTTTTGAATTTAAATTTTATTACGTTTTGTAAAATATAGTCAACAACCTCTGCACATGTGTGGGTATGAAAATATTTGCGGCTTTCTTCAGTTTTGGGAAATAAAAGGTGTTATAGTCCGTTGATAAGACGATAGAAATGCAAACTTTTAAAATAAAACTAGAGAAAATTACGGTACTGGTGGAATTTACTTTGCGTTAGCTTTTTTGGGTAAAGCAGATGGAGGGAAGAAGTCTTAACGTAATAAACGCACAACCAAGAACATTTTTCAATAAACAAAAATAATGAGAATAAAAGAAAATGCGTAGAAAAGGCAAGCAAAACAAAGGATAAAAGTTGGTTTTGCGGAAATCATTTGAAAAAAATATTCAGATCCTGTTCAGATCATAATATCGTATTCATTTACATCTTAGAAGTAATCTTCGTTCAATCTTTTTGAAAGTTTATCTTAATATCATTTTTGTTGGATACTTCTCGCTATCTTAAGCTTCAATTACGTCTAATTTTGTATGAGAACAAGTAAAGAATACATTAAAGCTCATAGAAAATAGGCAATTCAATAAATTGGGAAAATTGAAGCTTTATAAAACCAGCAGAAAAATGAGAATAATTTTTTTTGAGAATTTCAAAATATAAGCTTCAATTATTCTGGAAATTTAATTAGAGATACTTAATTGCTTGTCATTTAATATAATAAACATTGTGTTTCCAAAAAATGCTCATTTGAGTACAAAACAAATGTTTAGATTCTCCACACACTTCATCAAATTAAATTTATTATGTTCAATTTAATTGTCACGAAAATGCTTCTGCTGCCTTCATATCCATTTTCGTGTTATTATGAATTTTTAATTGCCAACAATGCTCAGTCTATGAACAGAACAATGCAATAATTCACGCAGTTAAAGCACATAAATTTGTATCCAGAATATTCTCATATTTTTACTAATTACATATTCTACAGACTCTCCATTTGACCTTGAGAGATGTGGACCTGCTATTGATATCGGACTCGAGAGAATAAATAGGGAGTTTCTGGATCATCACAAAGTGTTTCTTAATAAAGTTCAGAAGAGGTAAGTAAAATTATTTTTATTAATTGATGCTATGACAAAAAACTATCACACTCGACAGTTGTAAATTAAATCTTGTGTATTCTAGCAAAAAAAGTCCAATAATCCGGAAAAAGAAGTCAGTATCGCTTTCGAATTGAACTAGATTTTTTTATGGACTTTAAAGTAGTTTTATCTGATTTCTTTCAAAGTCAAAACAATTTGTTACTCCATTTAAACTAACATTGAAAGTCATCTTTTAAAACGGAACTGAATTTATTGATATATGAAGTTCCTTCCACATGTCAATGTTAATTTGAAATGTTTTATTTCATGCTTTGATTTGATTGATTTCAAGGATTAGATTTTGAAGTAATGTTTGAGGAAAAACCTACAAATTTTAATTCGAAGATTATTTTGAATTTCAAGGAACTTTTCCTTTGAAACTTTATCATGCCAATTTCATTTCTATTCCGTAATGTCTGCATCAAAGCTACCCACATTTTTTCAATCCTTGTATCGTTCTGTGACTTCAAATTACTCAAGTATGGTTTGATGAAAAATTGCTCAATTTGTTCCATAAATAAACTTCAAGTTGGTTTTTAAACAAATTGACACCAACCACTTCGTCTTTCGATTAGATCAACATGTTTAACTATAGAGTATCTGCTTGATTAAGAAAACTTTATGTTGACATTGTCCAAAATAATTTCAAGCACGCTCGTAACTTTCATGAGATTTTTTTCTGTCTAGCAAAAAATTCTCGAGAACATTCAAGCTTTAAATTGAAAATTAAATTTGTCTTCCAAAACTTTCTCTTCTTGCAGAGTTTGAGTAGAAAATTCCTTAAATACCGCAAACTTGTATTGATGTTGACCAGAATTCTACATATTCTGAGTAGAAAAACATTGGACATGTGTTACAATTCCTTTTTTTTCTTGTATCATAAATAATGCAGAAAGCTGAAATTGATTGGATGTGGGACAAGTTGAATCTATAATTTTACTACTGTGAAATGCTGTACGTAAAAATTGAGCGGACAGAAGAAGAATTCATAAAAGTCTCAAGGACCTTTTCGTATCAGTTCTCTATGAAAATCGTCTTCGTACTCATGAATTAAAGATTCATGCTTCCTCCCTTAAACATTACATCACCGACTTCGAAAAATATGCAAAAATCGATTTGTTGTTCATTCTTCTATTTTAAATGTAACACGATAGTTGACTTTTCACTTCGCTAGACCTTCACATTGAAAATATTTTAACGCTATTGTGAAGTGTCAAATGACAAATACTCTAAGGATGCGATGGACGTCAACATGTGTGTAATGTGAATATTCCGATAAAAACAAAGTCATTGAACTATTTGATATGGAATTTTGTAATGAAAATTCTTGAGGTTTTGTGGCATTTTGTTTTAAATTGATCCATTTGATTCCTGAAATTCAAAGCTTTGATCCAGAGTAAAAGGAAAATTTCATCTAAAATCAGCGAGAATTTTACATAAAAAACTTTTTGTTATCATGTTGTTTTCCCTTTAATCCAGTGACTTGGCAACAAATATACATGTTTTTGAAGAGCTAGGTCAATAGTCTGAAATATGTGTGAAAGAAAATATGCTTACAAGATAAAGCAGCTCTACTCTTTCTTAAATGTAAATTCTGTATGAAAAATTCATGATTTTGGACACTATGCTACAGATTTATTCAGTTGAAGTTCAGAAGAATATTCCCATGACTTCTTACTTTACTGTTTCAATCATAATCGACAAAATCCACATAATCCTAAAGCACTGGAGTTTAAACAAAACAGAACTTGTTTTGATAAATATAATGTAAATTTCTGTAGTCATCTCCAACCCCCGCGAAGACACGCACATACAATAACAAGAAATATTATTATCATTTTTATTTGACGGAAAAATATTCCCAAAAGAGGATTATTGCGAAAAGGAAAATTTTTCATTACTTTATGCTATTTGACCTACATTTACATTTTCATTTTGTCACTGTCGTATTAGAACGCATGCAGGAAGTTGCTTGTGGGATGGAATGAAAAGAATACGAAAAAGTCACAGAAAAGATTCGATTATCAAAATATTTTTCTTTTGTCTTTTCTTTTTGTTCTTGAAAAAAAAATCGTTTGAAAATGCATTAGATTGTCTTCCTCTATTTACAGCTTTGATGTGGTAGATGAAATCAAGAACACTTGAAATACAAAGAATATTAGAGTAGCTGATAAGCTTATTTAGAGAATTTATTGTCTTTTTTCATTCAATAAAAGACATTGCAGAGCTCAATGTCGATTTATTACATTGAATTATAATCCTAGGGAAGGATGCCCCGAGTAGCCCTAGAAACCAGCCCCAGACTTTGGGGCCGTTCACTTATGACGTCCGAAATTAACGGTCATTTTTCAAAAAAAAACAATAGATTTCCAGGAATTTTTATTGTTCTTTACTTCCAGACCCCCCCCCCCCCCCCTGGACGTCATAAGTGAACGGCCACTTTGTTAAATTTTAACACAAAACTTGCTTAAACCTTTATTCTCTTGCATAAAAACTACAAATTGCAATAAAATGTCCGATGATGCATTAACTATAAAATCTCAACTTTGATTGCTCCTTTGATAAGCCACATTGTTCTCATTCAAGACTTTTATGATCAACTCTAATGAGCATTTGACATTTATGATTGTAGGAAATGGTTGAGCTTAATAAAATTTATGGATCTGCTGTGCTATTTTCTCTTATTCATGCGAAAGCTTCCATTACAATAATTTTCGTTCTCTGAATTGGTTTGATTTCTAATGAAAATAATAGAGAAAATTGGACATCAAAAGGAATGATGATATAGTATAGCTATAGCTGCTGAATTGAATGCGTAATTTTATGATTTTTCGAGTAAAAAAGCTTGTCTTAAAGACTGAATTTCAATATTTTTATCACCGAGGAGACTTCCTTGCAACTCTATTAAAACAATCACAACGACTTGACTGTAGAAACAGATATGAGAATTCATGTTACCTAAATTGACGCTATTTATAGTTCATCCAGTGAAATGAGCAATATCAAGTCTACTATCTTTATTATCTTCTTTTGTGATCATTATAGGCATCCAATAAAAATTCATAGCACATCTTTCCGTTTTACGAAAGCATTTTCAAGGAGAAAATACAGCAAAACAATCAATTTGTCTGTTAAGTATTTTATTTATGCAGTTCCTTCGCCTAATAAATTTGCATAACATAATAAAGTCAAAGCTGTATATACTTTGATTGAAAGGAGGAACTGCGCTGTTTGAATTTACGTATTGTCACTTTTTCTTATAAGATTGAGCTTTAATTTCAATATCAAATTGATCCTTGCAATATATTGCTGTATGCCAGCCTAGAATTAATACAAACAAAATCATAAAAAAACAGTCAGTTTCAGTGTCATAAAGAGAATAAAAAAAAAATTTAACATATGACATATTTATGATGTGGATATACAAGTAATTTGTTGGAGCCATGTAGAAATGTAAACATATCTTATGCTATGAAGTGTATCATTTACAATTGACATCAAGGTTAAAACATTATAAAGAGAAGTGTCTTCATTCATTCCATGACACTGAATGAATTTTGTGGTTTGCATATTTAATGATAAAAATGAAAAATGATGTGTTGAGTATGGATGAATAGGACGCTTTCTGGATCTAGCAATTCTAGCCTTAAATTTCTCATTCTGTCCCTCAATTTAATCGCGGTGCCTCTAGCTCAAAAATGATGTTTCCTCTTCACGTTCATCCTTTGGATTCCTCCCTGGCTATGGTCATATTCCAAGACATTCGGCCTGTTTCACTAAAGTGGATTATCCTCGATTTCGGATTATCCACTTCAGTTTTTTGGAAATATCTTAAACTTTATGGGAGGTGTGGTACTTCTAATTTTGGATTTTAATAAAGTGAGCTATGCCTGAAATTTCTGTACACTTTAAACTTTTACTTTTCGTTAAGAACTATCAATTATTCAATTTCCTAGCCAAATCTAGTAGATTAACTTCAAATTTTGCTATAATTCTCAAACTAGTGAAGATATAAAAATTCTAAGTATATGTTAATTTAAGTAGCAAAGTACTCTTGCTAGATCACACATTACATCTCTTAATAACCTTAAGCGTCTGGCGATATTTCCAATTATTAGTGAAACAGGCCGATTGTGATTTCCCTATGTTTGGCACTCAAACTAAGTAGCTTACCATAGCTTCAATGTTGCATCAAATGATGAATGTTGTCAAGAAATATATTTTTGCATAAACAGACTAAATGAGAAAAATCGATGAATAATTTAGAATTCAGCATTTACATTCACTGTCTACTTCTCATTTAAAACTTTTAAGAAGTACGTAAACGTGACTGAATCATGAATATGCCAGAAGAGCACATGTGTACTGTCGAGTAGTAAATTTAGAATTTGGGTTTATTTTGAACTGTTCGAGGTTTATTCATTAAAAATTCATCTAGCTTTTGAGAATTAAAATCTTTTATTCTATTATATTCTACAGTTATCCATACTGCTCTGGAAATATGTCGCCTGGACTTGCTGCTGACATGTACTTCAAGGAGCATGTTATCTCTTTTATCGGACCAGCATGTGCTTTCGCTTTAGAACCAGTTGCAAGACTAGCAGACTATTGGAATATTCCTATCATAACTGGAATGGGAGATCAGGTAAATCAATATTTTAATGTGAACTTGCTATGTTGAGAAAAATCCAATTGAAGCTGGTTTATTGCTTATCAAATATTTAAAGGATGAAAATTTACTTTTCTGGCACCATCAGTGTGAAACACTGGAAAATCGGAACTATGGAAATGTGAAAAAAAAAATTAATGCAAAAGGCGGAAAAGTTTTTCCATAAAATTTTTAAAGACAAGCACGCACAAAGTCCTTTAAATGTGACAAGACAATTTTTATCAGACTTGCGTCATTTCAAATGTTGGCAGTTATGTAAAATTATGAAAAATTCAAAATTTATTTTCCGTTAAAGCATAAAACAAAATTTTGCTTTAATTAAGCTACAGATTATGAAGCTTTTCGATCAGTATCATTAATTATGTGATCAGTAAGTTGTTAATCATTGTTTTAAGTAAGAAAATTCCTAAATTAAGAAAATTCAGTTGAAATTGAAAAATGTCAACAAAAAAATGTAAGTGTGTAAGTGTAAAAATTTCTTGAAAATATTTCTGCAAAAAACTCTTTTGTTTCTTGATATTCATGATTTTAAAGCTTATCAATGTTCATAAATAATAACAAGCTTTGATTCTAAGCTAGTTGACAGTAGTTATCATAGCTAAAATGCTCAAAATTCAACATAGAATTTTTTAAAGTTTTACCGGTTGAATTGAGTTTAAATTTTCGAAATAAATTTCGAATTTTTCGGAGCCAATTTCGAATTTCTTCGAAATGAAATGACGCAAGTCTGATTTTTATAAACAAAACAATCCCACGAAAAAATTTACGATCAGTAAAAATAAATGGCTTTTGTTTGTGAAAATCCAGGATATCCTTATAATCCCTTGGGAATTTTGGGATGTTTTTTCCTTAAAAACGTCAAATTAGGGAGAAGCTATAAATCGCTTAAAAATTTACTAGTTTCACAGATATTTTATTACAATCAACAATCGTGACTAACAATTTAATCTTTGACTGAATTTAAATCTACAAATGTAAACGATGAATGAACAAATCTCCTTCCACAAACTTAACTATAAATCCAACCAACTTCATAACAAGAATTCAGATTTTCATCCCACACACAAAAAGGGACGATTCCTAAGCATAAAAAAAGTGTGCATGAAAAAATGTAAAACTTTTTCATTGAATTTTTTTTATTCTGTCTTTTCTTCTTGTTGCTTGCTTCGTTCATTCATGTCTTGTTTATTCCGTTTCCAATTTTATTTTCACAAGACAAGGCATTTACTTGCTGTTTCACTTATTAAGTTTTGTGGCGATAGCCACGATGATAAGGCATCACGTGTTTAAAATACACTTTGACATGATGCTGATGATGGATGTTTTGTGTCTTTTGTAAACTTTCTGTAGCTGCATTTGGATTCAATTATTATTGCATTATTCATTTGTGATGTTCAAATTTTAAGTGATGGTAAAAAAGTTTTCTGTGTTTGGACCTTGTTGTGATATTATTCTATTCTTTTTAAAACCTTCTTTAAACTACGGTCCTTATGGACGTCACTAAAAAACGAATCCCATGCTTCACAAAACGAAGCAAAAGTGCATCTTTCCATGTTTAAAGCTCGCCTGTAAAATGCTACATAAGCTGTGAGATGAATTTATATCACGAGACGATTATTAACATCCAGTAAAAATACAATCTTTATTAATTCAATTTGATATGGTTTAAGATAAGACATTTCAATTAAAGGAATTTTAGCAACGAATTTTCTAATCGATTTCTATTGGTTTATTGAACCACAATGCATTCCTTAATCACAAAAAAGTCTATCATCTTTTACCAAAATAATGAGTTTCTGAACAAACTTATTCTTATTTATTTTATCTCGCATCTGACAACAAACTTTACTTTTCTAATCTGCACTTCTATTTCTAATCCATTCTTCTATTTTATTAATTAAAATGAATTAAGTTTCATCTACCAAGTAGTCGACAAACATGCTTTAGTCATCACAATGAAAATTAAAAATCCGTTCAGCAACAAGTAGATGGGACAGAAACACGACAAAACATAATTATACTCAATGTCTTTGTCTATCATTATTTTAACAATTACTCTTTTAATGATAATGCAGTCATCTCTTAAGATACGCTTGTTAATGATGATGGTGTTGACTTGGAAAACACCCTGACTTGAAAATTTCCAGAAAGCGGTTTTAATTTGAAAATTTACATTAAAGAGCTTAAAGGCACGCAATCTTCTATTCTTCAAGTTTCTCCTTTTTACTTCCTTCGGATGTTCAACATTAATTGTTATTTGGATTTGGAGTTCTGATTGACTATACAATCTATATATTCCATGATGGATCGAAGATAAGAAACTAAACAGCACGACTCAAAGTTTCAATACAAATAATCTTCCACTTTTATTATTTGTTCTGTTGGATGTTTCATTAAATTAATTTCCAAAACAGGCTATCATTCGATGTGCCATAAGAATCCAAAATTTGGATTTATTTATATAGCACACACTTTATAGATCGGGCAGGCGATGAATTAATTAATTTCATTCATTAAAATTCGAGCAAATAATCATAAGATAAGAAGAAGTGCAAAATCAATGTGGGTGTGGAAATTTTCTGTAATTTAATGGCCAAAAAGAAGGAAGTTCAGCTTGTCTATATGAGAATTACCAATTATAGCCTCTATATGAACAGCATTATATGAAATTTAATTACGATTATCGATATTACTTCTACATTTACTTATTTCTTTTTATTTACAGCCTCCAACTGAAGGGGAATTGACAGTTACTTCTGGTATATTAGGTCGTATTACACATAAATGGAAGAACGAAAGCTCAGTAAGTTTACACAAAGGAGGAAATCTTTAATTTTATACAAACAGCATTAATTTTTATTGTTTAAGTCGTTTATAGATGTTAACAGTAGGTTAAGTGCAGTTTTGTGCTTTTGAAGGGATGAGAAAGGAATCGCATAGTAAAGTTTTTATAGCTCAAGTTATGCTGATATTTAAAATTATAGATTGAATCTCGATTTGATTTTAAAGCCTTTTTATTTTGCAACTTAATGACCGGTGTTCGGTGTCTAGTAAGAATCAAACCTACACAATAAAGATTAAAGTCTGTTGCTTAGCCACTCAATCACAGCAGCTTACAGGTTTACCTACAGATTCCACTCTGTTCAGACACCAAATTCTGTTTGCAAACCGCTCATTCATTTAAACTCAATTTATTCTTCGTTAAAACTTTTGGGCTCTTGAATTTTCGCGTCTTGAGTAGCTGTTGGCAAATCTCATTTCACTTTTCATATAATTGTTGCCATTTTAAGCACATTATCCATTGTGCTTATTTTTTTCTCGTCAAGGTCCCTCAAATGTGGCAACTGAATGACGCATCTTGAGACGACTGAAAGGAATTTAATTTGAAGATGAATTGAATTTTATTCAAGTTTTAATGCTGTTATGTATTAAAAATGACAATTCCTTGTTACCTTGTGATTTTTATATCCATTAATTTGCAATAAATCCCGAAGATTGATAAAAATTACATAAAATTTTAATAACTCTTTATCTTTTGTTTCTTAGTTCTTCAAAGACAAATCACGTTATGCAACACTCACAAGAATGTCCTACTGCCAATGCAGACTTAAACTTGTATTTGCCAGTATTTTTAAAGAGTTCAACTTCAGGCATGTCGCTCTCCTTCTCGACAGGTCTGATCTATTTTCACTAACAGTGGGAAAGAATCTAGAATATGGACTAAAAGAAGATGGAGTTTTAAAGTTTGTTAAAGAACTTAATGGCAATGAACTTCTGCATGATGGAAAACTTAATAAGTCTGAAAATGATAGAAGAATGAGGGAACTAAAAACATATTTAAAGGACGCATCTATGTATTCACGTGTGATAATATTATCTGTACGAGGACAGCTAGTTCGAAAGTTTATGATAGCTGCATATGAGTATGTTGTGCAATATAGTTGTCACTTGTTGTTTCCATCATAAAACTTTGTTAATTGAAATTTTCTTTTATTCCATTTAAAGACTGGGGATGACAAAAGGTGATTGGACATTTCTAGATGTCGAGATCTTTCAAGTAAGTTCCTCAAAAAAAGCAATTATTTATGGTAATTTTAACGATAAATGAAGCAAGAAAATGGATGTTGAACTAATTGATGTGCTAGTCATCCGGTAAAATTGCTTATTCCAACAATTCTTATTAATTTACAATTTTACGTATTTTTTCTGAATATTTTGTATAGTCTGCTTATTGGGGTGATCATAATTGGGAAGGTAAGTAGAAATGACATCCATGGCATTAGTGATGAAAGGAAAGAAATTATGCAAACGGTTATTACTGTTCAATAACCTTAGCCCAATTTCTTTTTGTTGATTTATGAATTTGTTTTTCGCATGCTTGGAACTAGTAATGAAGCTAACCAGCTAAAACGTGCTTGGCTTCTTATAAAATTCTCATTCATAAATATTTGAGTATTTGAAAATTGAGTTTGCAATTGAAGACCATCCCTAGACAAAAATAAAATCGATCACAATTGACCATTTGTGCTGCAAACTCTCATCAAATGGGGATTCATTCTAATTTTTGTCAATATACCTTTTTACAGAGGACGATGATAATGACATGACAGCACGAAAAGCTTTCGAAGCTCTCTTGAGAGTTTCCTTATTGCAACCAACAAGTCCGAAATTTAATCAATTTGCCGAGGAAGTGAGAAGAATCGCAAGACAAAAGTATGACTATACATTTTATGAAGGCGAAGAGGTGAGACTTGTGGCTTTTGACTTGGAACTATAAAGTTTTCTATATTCATGTGTTGGATTTAGGTGAACTTTTTCATTGGTGCATTTTACGATGGTGTTCTGTTACTTGGTATGACATTGAATGAGACACTTACGGAAGGTGGTGATATCCACGATGGTGTTGGATTAACAAGAAAAATGTAAGATGAATTAATGAAATTAGCTTGTGATGATTGCATTAAATGCTTAATCAAACAATAAATTAGACAAAAATAAGTCAGTAAACATATTTTTCATGCTTATCTCCATTTCTAGGTGGAACAGGACATTCCAGGGCGAGTAGTACTTTGTTTTATTGACATATGTGGCCATAAATGTTTACTACATCTCATATTGTGTATGTTACATTAATTCCATGATTGTTATGTGCGGAATCAGAGATGAATTTTACGATTCTTCTCACTTTTACTGTCTACATCACCACAGACATGCAGTTGACCGATTTTATGTGGGAAATTAAAGAGTTTTAGTTTTTTGTTGAAGATCTCTGGTTTCTGGGTTATACTTTAAATTGACTGTAATTCAGGGGCTTATCCAAGAGGATATTTGTAACTGCATTTGGGATATGTATAATATAAATGAACCTTTACGATTTATATAAATGATTGTAACTTCCAATTCACATAAAATTCCTGATACTCATGTTTCATTCATTGCTTGAAAATTGAGTCTACCTTTTTAAGATATCTGTTTTAAAGTACTTTCAAAATACTGCTCTTATGATTTTCGATTTTCTCAACTGCTCTCAATTTGTGCTCTTTAAACTTTCTAAAGAGATGGAAAAACACAAACAGCAGTGAAAAAGGTTCAATTGAATGAGCAAACATTTTCTTCTTTCCGAATTCTTTTTGGTACCCATGTTTCAATTTAAGAGCGATTAAATCTCAGTATAAAATGTAAAAAATTAGTTCAAGTTCAAGGAAATCGGAAGGATTAAAATAAATATCAGATTAAAAATGTTTGTCTGATTTCCTTGAAATAGGATGAAGTTTTATGTGCTATGATTTTTATGGAAACACTCAAAGAATATTTATTCAGGATTTTATTAAAGCTATTAAGTTATAATCAGGACAGCCTATATTTTGTTCATAAACGTGCTACACAAATTACCCCAAAAGATTAAATTTCAATGAATAAATCTAATAAACTTATTCTAAAGGACGAAACATGCGATTACTGACACTAAAACTACGGAATATTTATGGGCAGCTCATTAATATTAATTTAGTGCCAATGATCCTATATTTTTTGATACACTGCTTCTAAGAAGAGGGTCTTTTGACGATACAGATGATTATGTTGATGAAGAGCTTTAAAGCAATGATGATGATGAGCCTTGAATAAATCATTTTAATCATTCGAAGGGAATTTTTTATTTTGTCTCTTGAAAATTTACTTAAGAAAGCTTATATTTGAGTTCAATGTAGACTAAGGCAGTGCATGTGGCTGGTTTTTTTTGGAGAAACGTGTGAGATTATGCGTAGAATTTTTTTTTAAATTTCCATTTGAGAATGAAAAGCTTTCGAATTTATTTTATTATTCAATTTTTTATTCATTCTCAAATTGAAAAGATTTTTATGTAAATTTCAATCATGAGCTTGTCGTGAGCTCTTATTTAAAAATAATATTGATGGGTATTGTTTGAAGTGCTTGAGAAATGTTCATCATGTCTTAAAAAATGGTCCTTAAGAAAAACATACATATAAGCTTATTGGTAATCCTTGGGTGTCGTTCACTTATGACGTCCATCAAAAAACCTGATTTTTAGACCCTCCTCCCCCCTCTGTCTCAAAAATTCTATAGAAAAAAATTTCCATCGTTTGAACTGTCACAAAATCCTAGACCCCCTCCTCCCTTAAATGTCGGGCGTCATGAGAGAACTGCCTCTTGACGGATCTCTGATTCTAATAAAATAAATTAATTTAACTTTACAGGAATAACAGGCGTTGTAAGAATTGACGATAATGGCGATAGAGATGCTGATTATTCACTGCTTGATTTAGATCCCGTGACTGGACGTTTTGAAGTCGTTTCTCATTATTATGGTGCAAATCGGTGAGCCATGTCAAGTTTCTAATTGATTTCTGAGAATAATATTGTTCAATAGCTGTTATGGATTTTGATATCCGGAAAGCTGACATTGAGATTTGTTTTTGGAACTTTCAAAAATATTATCAAGTTTCTCGGAAATTAAAAACAATTCCTAGTAATTAAATATTCAAGAATCCTAACAATATTTTTTGAAAGAATATAAAATCATCCCAAATTCAATAGCCTAAAGAACAATAACAAATGAAAATCATTCTATTACAGGAGCTTAGTTTCAGTGCCAGGGAAACGTGAGTTGATATTCAAATCACAAATATCAAATATTGGCAACAAGTTTTTTTATGAATTCACAAAACATTTCCATTCAATTTCCATTTCTTAATAAAAATGTTATTTAGATATTCACTGGCCGGGGTCAAGAGACGGTCCACCACCCGACGTGCCTGAATGCGGTTTTCTCGGAAATGATCCAGACTGTCAAGGAAACGGTATAAGAATAACACGCGTCCGTCCAGTTACACATGATGATGATTATAATTTAAATTATGCAATATTCTTGACTTTATTTTTTATTATCACATTTGGAAGTTTTATTTACATCTTTTATTATATTTATTGCAAATAAAAAGTTTATGTGTTAAGTTGCATGTCCTTATGATGATTTTGGATGGGATTTAAAGGATATTTGTTAGATAATAGTCTTATTAGTAGAATTTTCTAGCAAATATCAGAATCTAGTCAATAGAAATATTAACTCAAATCTTGCAAAAATCATTTTAAGGGCATATCCATGATATTATATTGAATTTGTGAATGTAAAATATCTTATGTTGTTATTTTATTATTATCTCGTGGTATTTCTTCATCATAAAATTTGTGCTTATTTATTTCATTTTAATTTTCTCAATTGACTGTGGCATGTTGCACTCTTCAGTTGCTGTTGGTTTTTGTAGCTTTTATCTTCAGGAAGCTTCCTTTGGGGATATTAAATGTGTTAAAGTGTTTCAACCATTAGCGCATATTAAGGAATATAGAGTCAATACACTTAGGGATTGATCATAACTCTCATTCTCGTTTGTCATGATTTTTCTTTTGTATGGAAATTGTCACAAGGTTTAATCCCTAAGTTTAACTTTAGGGCCGTTCACTTATGACGTCGAGGGGGGGTAGCGGGGGGGGGGGGGGGGTCAGCAAGAAAAGAACAATAGAAATTCCTGGAAATCCATTATTCTCTTTTGAAAAATGACCGTTATTTTCGGACGTCATAAGTGAACGATCCCCTAGGGTTTTTATGACTTTTTGACTTAACAACTTTAACAAATTAAAGTCCAGCATCCTTAACTTTGGTCCAGACTCTTCTTCCAACTCCAAAAAATGTGCTACTGATATTTATTCCCAACAATCTATTCCACACCATTTATCTACTTCCTCTTATTTTTATTCTTCTCTCATTCTTATCACACAATCATGAAGAGACAATAATAATCTACGGACTTTTATCCTTTGCCCTGTTCTTTGTCTTCATATCGTCAATCTCATATCTATTTTACAAGTAAGATTGAATTTCATATTCTACCTATATGTATGTAGCTCAACAGGCTACTGTGTGAGATTCGAATAATAACAATAATTATCTTCACAGGCAACTAAGGCTGAATAGTGAATTAAATGACATGACGTGGCGTGTGAAGCCTGATGAAGTTCTCATTGAAGTTGGACGCCTTTTTGGGTCGAAAATTGGTCTACAGAAATTAAATTATGAGGTATGATACACTTCCCTAATGACTTAATTACAGTAGAACCCATTACTTTTGGGTAGGGATGTTTTTAGAAAATGGAAGTGAATAACGATAATTATGGTAATTAAATCAAGACTTTGGTGTCAAGTTACACTTAAATGCAGTCATTCTCAACAATTGAGTTATAATAACACCCAAAATCATCGTAAATCTCACTTACTAATTTCTATCCTTCTTAGAATTTCTCCATTACACAACTTGGAGTAAGTTCAGGCCGTGGATCAATTGCCAGTGTCGGAAGTATAGCACCGCCTCAAGAAACAATAACAATCGGTGTATTTAAAGGAGAACGAGTTGCAATAAAGAGAATCCTCAAGAAGAAGGTTTTAGAAATTCATTAAAGTCACTTCCTCAAAACTCATCCCGACATTTTTTTCTTCCCATTCTTACAGGTCGAGATCAATTCTACGTTGTTATGGGAGATAAAAAAGACTCGTGATGTTAATCATGAGAATACTGTTCGATTTATAGGCGCATGTATTGATTTACCACGTCCTTACGTTCTCATTCTAAACGAGTATTGCCCAAAAACGCTTAAGGAAGTACTTGAAAATGAAGCGATACAACTTGATTGGAATTTTCGTATGTCACTGATACATGACCTTGTTAAGGGTATGGCCTATCTACATAATAGCGACGTCTCAGTTCATGGCAAATTGAGGTCCAGTAATTGCCTTATTGATGGACGATTTGTACTAAAGATATCCAATTTTGGCCTGAGAACATTGACAATGCCTTCCGAATTCGTCAAGGATCAAACGTATTATCACAGTTGAGTTGCCTTTTTCTGTCTCATAATCTTATAGTTTTTGTTGTGGATGGTTTGAAGCTTTTCCTTGTAAAATAAAGTTTAGTGCTTAAAATACGCTTTAACCATCCAACTTCAATTACTTCCTAACCTGATTCTTCATTATGGAATTTTCTGCACGAATTTCTAATAATATCAAGCTGAGATTTTACACACAAAATTTTCTTCTTGCTTTTCTTTTCTTAAATTAGAACTCCTTTGGGTAGCACCGGAATTGCTATCGATAACAGTCATACCAGGAACTCCCTCAACACAAAAAGGCGACGTCTATTCATTCGCAATAATTCTCGAGGAAATTGTTGTTCGTGGTGGTCCCTACGAGTCTGTTAAATCGTACATGACACTTACTCAAATGTTAGATCGCGTGGCTGCACATGATAATCCACCGTTTCGTCCGCTCGTGGGTGAACGAGATTGCCCTTCTGATTTACTTGAGTTAATGGAAAAGTGTTGGAACGATAATCCAGATGAGCGTCCATCATTTGCGAATATTAGAACGACTGTATCATGCATTATGAAGTGAGTGACTTGCTTTGTTTATAATTTGTGGACAGAATCAATGTTGATACTTATTTATGCATAAAATGGGGCATTCATAATAAAGTTGTACATTATCTTCAATTTTCATAATAAAGTTGTAGTTGTGGACCAAAAAGATAGACATCATATATGAATGACTCCCAAAAATTTATTCAAATTGGTTTTTAATAATCATTCTCACATTCTTCATTCCACAACAGAGGATTTTGCGAGAATCTTATGGACGATTTACTCCGACGAATGGAACAATATGCAAATAACTTGGAAAGCCTCGTTGAGGAGAAGACAGAACAGTTGAGCATGGAAAAAAGACGTACAGAAGAATTACTTTACCAAGTATTGCCAAAAAGTGTCGCAACGACGCTTCTAAGTGGCGAGATGGTGCAACCCGAACAATTTGAATCCGTAACAATATATTTTAGTGATATTTGTGGATTTACGGCATTATGTGCGCAATCGAATCCAATTGAAGTTGTTGACTTTTTGAATGACTTATACAGCACGTTTGATAGAATTATAGGATTTTATGATGTCTATAAAGTTGAGACAATTGGTGATGCTTACATGTGTGTATCTGGTCTACCTGAACGAAATGGCGATGATCATGCCCGTGAAATTGGATTAATGGCATTAGCCATCCTTGATGCTGTTAAAAGTTTCACTATCAAACACAAACCCGAATATCAATTGAAAATAAGGATTGGAATTAATTCGGGTAGCGTTTGTGCAGGCGTTGTAGGACAAAAAATGCCAAGATACTGTCTCTTTGGTGACACAGTAAATACAGCATCGCGTCTCGAATCGACAGGTGAGCCGTTAAAAATTCACGTCTCGAGAGCAACAAAAATTATATTTGATAAATTTGGCACGTTCCATCTCGAATTGAGGGGCGATATAGAATTAAAAGGAAAGGGAAAGGTTACAACTTATTGGCTGAGTGGATGCTCGGAAAAAGATCCGAGGTATGAATTAAATTGTGATAATCAAGATGATATATATATTTTTAGGCTTTTATTTTTTTTCAGACCACCGACGCCACTCAAGAATCATATTGATAATGAAGTGAATCCATTTCCTATTTTGTTTCCGTCTATCAAATAAAATTATATACAAAAAATTTTATTAAATTAAATATCTGAATAAGTATGGGGTGGACATAACATCATCACAATCATAAACATGTCTTCTTATTATCTATCGCATATTCTTCTTTTGTATAGATTGCAAACATGCTTATTTATTCATTTTGAATGGATAGATGAAATTAGACTAGCAGATTGTAATTTACTGCTATTCGATATGTTTTGAATCAATATTTTTTATATTATAAGTTTGTCTAGCTATTGGATAGAATCTTTTTTGAGCCTATTTATTAATTCTTTAATTAAAAAGGATAATAACTGCTGTTTTAAGGAACATCAAATTAATTTCAGAGGATTTAAACATTTTATGCTCAATTTTCATTGAATTATCGCTAATTTCTAGTTTGAAAAGTCAATAGCACCAATCCATGCGCTTTATTAAGCTACAAGCTTTTTTTATTTATTTGCTAGTGTATTACACAAATTTTCATGAATGTAGGTGTCTTATCTATTTATCATAAGTTAGGAAGTGAACTTTATGTTGTATGAATAAGATGAAGATTCGTCAGGTATGAAAGTCTCAACTTATCCATCGATATTTATGACTGAATCAAGGCAACTTTTGAAAGGTGAATTTTATTAGCTTTATTGAGCAAAGTAAGAAGAACTGCCAAATTAAAGGCGAAAGTGTATGTTCGATAATTCCATTGTACTCTTTAGAGAATGAATAATGTTCAATTCTGCATGATGAATGAATCTTAAATTTAATTATTAAAACAAAAGAATTTCATACTGTCAATGAAATATTAAACCAGAAAATCAATTATCAGCAAGGTTTCCAGATTTCAAAAAGATTGTGATCTAAATTACAAGATTGAGATCTTTATAACATGAATGAAATTCAGGATTCCTGATTATTAGTAACTTAAGGAATTTTAGATTAAACTTTTAAAATTAAATATTTTTATAGAATAAATTTTACAAGAACACGAAGAATCGAATTGAAGAAATTTTAGAATGAACAAAAAACTCATTGTACTTCATAAAGATGGTTGAGATAATAACATTTTAGTAAGATGACTATAGAAGAATTTTATTATTCGTAAGAAGGAACACAAAACTTCAATCAAGATTTATTTTAATGCTTAAAGCTTGACCCTTTATAAAATATCAAAAATAATTAAGAATGTTTCCAAGAAATCAAGCTAGATACCACAAAAAAAATTATTTTATCTTGGGAAATCCACAAATTCTCAGTGTTTCATGATAGATGACCTGATTATTTTATGATAGAGTATTAAATGTAAGAACAACCTTTTTCAGCAGCAGAAAAAGGAGAATGTGATGAATGTCTAATTATGTGAATCTGTGTTAATATTTTTAGTTCAAATATTTCAGGCTTAGATGAAGCAGACTAATGAAAAATGCTCTATACATGAATTATTTTTCCTTCAATAACATTCCATTAGTTTGCTTCTCACATGCTTATCCACAAAAATTGGGAACATGAATGTAACTTTAATTAAGAACTATGAATGATGATTAAGTTATGATGAAAATTAGATTAGAAAGATGTCTATATTGTAGTTGAAATAGAACAAAATGTAAAGAAAGAAAAGAAAATATTTTGGAGAAAATAAAGAACTGACAGATGAGAATCCAAATATTGTCTGTCGATATATGTGATAATGATATTGTTGACTTTTATTATCTCTTTTTTTATTTGCAGCTGAAATAATATTTGTGGTCCTTTTTCCTTAGATTGAAGTGTTACTTTATTGACTAATCTGATGATATGACATGATGAGAGAATTCTTTCACTTATATCTTAGTACAAATTAATGGGGTTTTCACTTAAGCATTAAAGTCATCTAAAATAAATGTTTAAAAGAAGAAATTTAAAATGAAATTATATCATGAGATTTAAAATAATGAATCAAAGTAAACCATGAAAAATAGAAAATAAAGATAAACTCGCATTGAAACAAAAAGTTGGTTTTCATTTGATAAAATAAGGAGGAAAGCTCAGGATTCATATTCTAAAAGAAGCTTTAGTAGTGACACAAAATTTTGAAATTATCTTGACGGTTTATTAAAATTCTTCATGTTTTGAATAGTTTTTTTAAATTTTAAGTATTTTAGATTTTATTAATTTGCTTTTATTATTATGTTGATTTTGGTTTAAAACTTAAAAGATTGTTGTTTGAAACAAAAAATTTAAATAGTTTTTTAAAACTTAAACTTTCGAAATTTAATATTTGAAACATTTCACCACGTATCCACAATTATCAATATCGTTTGTTATCATTTTGATTACTTTATTATTGACTTTGTGATAATGATAAAAATGAGCACACTTATAACATGAGAATCTTACGCTCAAATATAATTTGCATTTGAATGTGTTAGTAAATGTTACTCTTTTAGTGAAAGATCATAGTTATAACATCATGTAGAGATATAAAATTCCAAGAAAAAGGTAACTATATAAGATTATAATTGTTAAATTTTGAAATAAAAAGCTAGTTAAAGTAGTCCTTCACATTTTAACATTAAAGGTTTTTAGTCTTGATAGTAAAATGAGCTCAAACTTTTCATTTATAAAACACATTTCACAATTTTTTGTATTAATCATAGCTGATATTGATGTTATATCGCTTTCAAAAAATAACGTTCGTTATTTTTAAAGAATTAATACTAAGAATTGTTCATGAGTTCTTACGATCGTTTGCATTTTCGGTTCTTTTTCTCTTTAATTTAATTTTTATACAATTCTTAAAATACTCAATTTATATTTAAAGTTTCTATTAAAATTTATTTTTTAATGTTTTTATTAAAAGTTTCGAAAATTAATTGTTCATGCTCTTGAATAATATAATATTTTTTCAAATATATTTGTTAAGGATAAAAAGGGAAAACTAAAGAATAACTAGATAAGACTGTAAAGCTTGATAATCTGGACCATTCAAAATATATAACAACAAAATTAACATATGCAAAATTAAAGATTTTTTTTGAAAAAGTATAATTTAGCTTGAATCATTTGCATAAACTAGATATCAAACTTTTAAATACAATTTAAAACAATAGGATTCTTCATACTTTTTAAAGAAAACTTAAGTTTTGTATTTATCATGCTCTTTAAATCATTCTTTTTTCACACACACATTTACAAACCTTGTATTTACAAGTGTATAAAGAAATTGTTTGAATGAAAATAGCGGGAAAGCAGATGTTTTTGGCAAAACAATGTAAACAAAAACCACATTTCTGATGTGTAACTGAATTGGTTTTGAATTTGACCTATTCTAGAAACTTGTCATGAAGATTGTGCTTAATTTTATTGGAAAATAAAAAAAAAGGAAATTAATTTTTCGAAAATAAATGTTCGAAAAGATTAGATCATGTTATACATGTTATAAATGTGAAACCAGTGAAAAATTTAAATATTACCTGATATTTTCGAGTAATGCTGTTCTTGAATCATTTTTTTGAAGGTAAACACTTCCTGTTTAATTTATTTGAATTCCAAAAATGATTCAATTAATTTAAATTACTCAATTGTAATACATTGAATTGAATAAAACTTTCAATTTATAAGCTGCAATATTAAATTCAATTTAATATAACACAATTTCTATAAATTTTACAAACGGGGTTGTTCACTTATAACGTAACGCTTTTGAAAAGGGGAAGATTTGAGATTTTGTGACAGTTGTAATAAAAATATATATTTTGCGAACGTTCGTTTCAAGTAGGACATTTTTAAGGTTACCTTATAAGTGAACAGTTTATGAATAAATTTTTTTATAAAATAAACATTTTGATCCATGTAGGTTTTAGTATTTAAACCAGTTATTTTTGAACGTTCCTCGGCATAAAATTTGAAATTTTGTGGTGTGATATTCTAAAACCGTAGAGAAATTTATTCAAATATTTTTAAATAAGTACAATTTTGAAAATTCAAAGTGAACAGTTTTTAATAAATTAACTCGTCATACTGCATAAAATCAACTGAGAATCGACTGTCCATTCAAAATCATAGTTGCTTTCGCAATCTGTTTTAAAACTCATTCGTGATGCATTTTGTGCATCTATCAGTACTTTTTTGATATTGAAACTTGATTCATCGAAACTTTTCTTTGTAGTTTAAACATTCATTTTTTCTAAAACATGTAAGAACTTTAATAGAATTATCAAATATAACTAAAGTTATACTTTCGTAACTAAAATTGGTGATAAGTGTGCCTATTTACAGAAATAGTATAACAATGACATTTTCATTGTGAGTCAAAATTACGTGACTCAGTGACGATTCTTTAACCATTACAAATATAATGAAATAAAGTTTAAGTAAATATTTTAAATACAATCTATCTAAACGGCACAAGAAGGTGGAAAACACTGTATTCGGAATGCTTTGCAAAGAATAGTTCATGAACTTCTGGCTTTTATAGTATTAATAAATTACTTCGTGGCGTAGTTTTGACGAAAATCCTTGACTTTATTTTATATGAAATATAATTATAAGCATGTGATTAATGCAAATGATGAGCTATTAAAACTGAAAGTATTAAAAAGAATTGTTTAAATAAGGTTTATTCAATTTTCCTAGAATATCAATTTTATATCAAAAGAAACTGGTTATATAAAGACTTATAACATTTTTTACGCAAACCTAATTTTATTTTATTTTTCTCTTTTTAGGCAATAAATCGAAGAACCACGTCGGAGTAACGAAAACTCCAACCACAATTGATTGGATTAATTATTATCTATTTTTGATTTCAAAATGGAAGATTTAGAATTGGGAAATCTAAGTGATGGTACAGGAACAAAAAATTATAAAAGAATCAAAAAGACCATTAAGAGAAAAGGTGGTCTTTTTACTGGAAACTCAAAAAATATATTTAAAAGGCCGAGTGGAACTGAAAATGGTTTAAGTGAATTTGAGAAACTTCTTATATCAGCTGAAGAAGATAATTCTGCCATTATTTGTGCTGTTTTGAGAGAATATGAAAATGAAGAATTCTGGGTCCAAAAAGTGAAATTAGAGACAATCATGCAGCATTATGTTAACACAGCAAATTGGAAGTTGATTAATTTTCTAACACTTTTAATGTTCAACTGGAGCGACCAAAGCGGGAAGCCAAGAGATTATTATTTGGTGAAAAAATTTGAAACTTATGAAGAAGTTGCTAAAGGAATGGAAACATTATTTGATAAGTTTTTTGACATTCTAGATGATGAAAATTGTCGCTTATATCATCATATATGCATAAAAATTATTTATCATTATTTTGACGAAATCAACAACATTTTTGATCCTTATATGACCGATTATCCAGCAAACTCTGTTTTAAATGACACATACATGAGTAAGCTGATACAAAAAGCTATGAATATTAAGAATTATGAATATAAAAATCATGTCGTTAAGATTCTATTGACATTTTTGAGGAACACTAAAGATGAAGATTTTTCAATTTTAAAAGATGAAATCATTGACTTTTTTAGCTATGATCTTAAGTTTGATTCAATATGCAAAATATCATACAGAGAAATCGTTCAATATCTTGACGATAAATTCTTTAGATTGATTTTTCTTTTAAAAGAAAATTATGTTGTAAAATTTAGAATAGAATTTCACAAGTTTATAAAATCACACAAGGAACTCTTGGGTGAATATTGGAGAAATGCAATGAAATTAAATGCACAGCTCCTATTTCATGTTGCGAGAAATCAAGGACTTGTTGACACACAGGAATACATACTGATTTCAACAGCTATATTTGAACTAAAACATTCAATTGCATCAAGCTTGCTAGAATTTGCAGAGTTCCAGATTGTATATGCAGAGCCACTAAAAAAGCATGAAGAGAAGCTATTGGTAAGTAAAACTAGTTTTACGCCCTGATTTTGATTGGAATGTTTGTTTTATCGTATAAATTAAAAGCCACATCCAGTTTTATAATCAATTAGTATGAAGATAATTATTCATTTATCTCACTAGTATTGATCAGCCTTGCTCTAAAACTATAAGCTTTTATTAATATTTCGATTTTCATTTTAAAAATGCAATGTTAATTTTGACTATCCATAAGTTCATGGAATGCTTAGCTACTCAATTATTTGATATCTTAGTTTAATAACCTCATTATAATTTATAAATTTTATTTCATTTCAAAAGGATGAACTGGTTGACTTTGTCGAAAATGATTTGATTATTAATATTGATGATTATGAAGTCTACGCAAACATAAGAGGATTTGAGAGACTCTTTGTCAACACTCCAACAATCAGGAAGCTTTTATTTGGCAGAAGAACCCTAGACAGTGAAAGTCTTTTTGAAGTAATTTTAACAAAAAATAAGACAAGCATGTATGAAAAATCAGATAATACCTACGTCCTTGATCACATCTGGAATGAGTTTCATTTATGGGATACGCCAGAAATTTTAACTATTGTGAGTTAAAAAGTCTTTTCTTTGGTTTTATTAACATAATTTTAAAATAATATTGTTAAAAATTACAGAGAAACCCGATTGGAAAGTCATTATTGGATTATGTATTAGAAACAGAAAATGATTATCACTTGATTTTCTTCTTAATGCCAAAGTCATCTGATTATATCAAAACAATTCAAAAACCATGTCAATTTATGATGTTGAAAAATGCACTCTATTATGATTGTAATAGGAGTCATAATGACAGATCGCTTGTTGAATACCACCTGAATTTAATTGATAAAAATAACCGTTCAGATCCCCATAATATACAGAACATATTTTATCTTTTCGAAGAGATGAGCTTATTTAATTCAGAACAAAATAATCAAAATACTTACATAAGAAAGCTATTTGAAGCAGTAACCAGCGAAGAGTCAGAGAAATTTGATGGAAAAAATGAATTAAAATTACCAAGAAAACATTTTCTTATTGGTATAATGATGGTTTATTGGGTTCGCGAAGCTCAACTCTATTCCATAGTTTTCAAGTTAGAGAAAAAACAGGAATCAGAAGGTCTTGATCATGGATATTTATTCTTCAAATTACTCTACAATATTATAAATGGTAAAGAAAATGATTTTCACAATGATTTTGCAACAGAAATAGAAAAACTTGAATCGTGCTTTAAATACATTTACGAGCTTGAAAGTACATACGATACAAAACATCAAAAGGATGACAGTGAGAATATTTTCCATTTTTATGAGAAATATTCAACAAATTTCTTCTTTGTTCTACTTTATGCTGCAATCAAATCAAATCGGAAAAGTATAATCGAACATATATTCAAATATGACAACTTTTTGATCACTGTGCCAACGTTTCCATCAAATATGGTAGCAACTGATGTTCATCATTTTACAACATTAAAGTTTCTTGAAAATAAATATGAAATTGGAAGAGCTGATATCCCCAAAAGCTGGATTACAAGAGATGTGCTAGAAAAATTCTTAAATTCGAGAATTGCTTCATTTGGTGGATTTTATAAAGTTGATTGTAGATTTATGCTACCTTACTATAACCACGATATTAATATCAAGTCTTCAAATGAAGTAAACGAAGATTTGCTCCTTAATGAGGACTATGATACAATGGAATACATTACAAGTGATCACGAATTGAAGCCACTTGTTACACATCCAGTCATGGAAATGATAATCAAAGTGAAAATCCACAAATACAATCGTATATTGCTTTGGAACCAAATTACATTTATTGCACTTTACATTCTTCCAACTTTACTATTGACTTATTTTAATCATTCACCGGTTCAACAAAATTATATTTTAAAAACCTTTTTAAATCTTATAAGAATCCCATTTGTCGCATGCAGAGAATACTTCCAATATAAGTTTGTGTTTCGCGACGATTATTTGAAAGAAACATCAAGTTACTTTGAACTTGGTTTGATCTTATTACCAATATTACTTTTTATTCCAACCACTGTTCACTACTTTTATGCTCACAACATTGCGCTCCAATTTATTACAATTTTTGAAGTCATTAACATTTCTTTAATGATTGGAGCAACTTGTTTTCTATTTTCAAACATGAAATTCTCGATTTATATGAAATGTTTCCGAAAAATCTTTGGAACTTATGTGAGCATTTTTGTAAATTTCTTTCCCCTATTTCTTGGATTTTTGGCATTATCATTTATAATTTTAAATCAAACAATATATTCAATACTTCCTCGCGAATCATGGGAATATATTAGTATGTATGCTGGTGAATTGGCATTTGATAACAATAGAATTAATGGATTCATACAAGGAGTGTTCTTGACATTAATAATCATTCTGGTCATCAACAAATTTAATCTTGTACTCTCGATAGCTATTAATGATATAAATGTATTGATGCATCAGTCAAAAGAAGTAAGTCTAATCTACAATGCACAAAAATATGTTCAGTTTGCTAAAAGGATCAGAATATTCCACGCCATTACAGAGTAAGTTTATCAAATTGTCCTTAGAATATTAAATTAATAATTGTTCACTCTCTTTACAGATACAAGGAAAATAAGAGTTTTTCTGAAAAGCTCATGTACAAGCTAATCAAGTTAATAATTCGAGAATATCCATTTATACATCGTATTCAAACCTTATATATTGACAAACAGACTAAGAACGTATATGTTGATGCCGAACGATCAGTCTTTGAATCCAATGACAGCATATCTAAAAGACTTGGATCGAAGAAAAATATGTTTCAAAATTGGTTTCAAAGCTTCAAATTGGATGTGGAAACAATGGATGCGATTAAGAAAATTGTTAATTCGTTTTTGCTTAAAGTCAGTAAAGACAGTGGGGCCCAAAGGTAATGTAAAACTATACATTTTTATTTACCAAAAGTCCTGTTTCACCTTCATGCGGTGGGTCCTGTTAATTCACTGATCAGTGAAAACTACCGAAACGGAATTTTGAGATAAATCGAAAATAAAGATTGCGAAGTCCTGGAAAAAAATGACACTCGTTAATTAACAGAGATTAATAGAACAGTGAAGGTGAACCAGTTTTTTTGCGATTTTAAGCCCAAAGTTCGAAAACAATTTTCTCATGCAAGGACATTTAACAATCAAACTTTAAACTTACAATAAGGAACCTTTATCTTATTTAAACGCTTTTTTTCAATTCTCTTCGCTATTAAATTTGACTTCAGGGTTTTTTTTGCGCAAACGTAGGTTTTTAAATTTATTTCAAAAATTAAAGTTATTAGTTTTCAACATTTTTATAATAATTTTGGGTTTTAAATATGTTTCTAATCAATTTTAAAAAATAAATTTTCTTAGAGAGGAATGAATTTTAACATTAATTTAAAGTGAATTCAAAATTGAATTTTATATTTATAAATTGTAACAATCAATTGATCAAATAAAAGTAGACACGATAACTTACAAAAAGTCTTTTTGTAAACAATGAGATAATTGTACATAGTATTCAGATTTCAGATCATTTCAATTAGAATTCATAATTGTAAAATTTAATAAGGACCTTCAATTGCTGAGATAATTATAATCTGATTCAGCGTCTCATTCATCATTTCTTTTTTGGTTCGACTTATTCAGATTTTCTTCCAAATTCAAACGCTAAAGTTCTTTTTCTGCATTAGTGCTACTCTCTGGAATGCCTTCATCATGTTATGAGTCATTCTTTTTATTGAAAAGTCATTATTCAAAAGTTCAATTTTTAAAGACAAAAAAGTAAATAATTACCTGTCAATTGCTTATTAATCAATAGTGTCATCCATTTCTTTTCAATTTAACTTCCACTGTCCGACTTATTACTTGTTCTAAAATATATAACATATTTTTTATTAGTCAGTTCATTTCTACGAATTAATTGTTTGTAATTAAAATGAATAATTTCTCCAGATTTTATATTAATGGAAGGTTTTTAAATTATCATTTTTAAAAAAATCTTTGTAAAATTTATTAAAACATTTCTAGCATAACATTCAGCTTAGTTTTATACAAAATCATTTTACTCTTTGGTATTTTCAATTTTCTAGCAAAAAATTACATTCTAAAATAATAGAAGTAATTCATATTGAATTACTAAAAGCCTAAAGTAAATGCCACTTAAGTTTTGAATCCGGCTTTGATGATTCTTAGCCTATTGATGTTGACCTGTTGATTGCTCATAGCTGATTTTTGTGTTGACACATGCTTTTTAAACAGGTTTTTATCCTTGACTTGTTCTTTATTTTGAAGATGTCTCTTAAAAATTTTCAATTTTTGATATTATTTGCGAATCATTAGACCTGCGGAATTGTGCAGTTTCAACAGCGCTCATTGAAGTATGCATTTTGAGGATGTAAATTTTCATCGTCGCTATTTCAGTTTGAGCTAAACTTGCCAACATTTTATTAAAATTCTAAGTTTTTGATTCTCTTCATTTACCTCGTCTTCTGATTCTTGGCTGCTTTCACCATTAGAATTATCAATTTGGCTAGACGAAAAATTAAATTTTTTTTCTTTTCAGCCATTTTGTTCGTTTCTTACGTCTTTTTGGAATAAGAACAGAACATGTATAACCAAATATAACATTATTGGTGGCACAACATAACTTAGGTTGTTATAGCATGATTCAAATGTTCAAAAGATTCGTTAACTTATGTCCAAAATATTTTTCGAAAGACGAGTTTAAAATGTGTCTAGAATCTAGAGCACCTTATTTATAGTAATTAAAACAATTTAGTAATTTGTGTTTTCTTAATTTAAATGAAGTGGCAAGTTTAAGTTTCAGGAATATTAATATCATTTGAATCTTTTAGGTGAGTTTGTCCCCCATTAACATTTGATGAACTTCTCGCACTGAAAGTACTTTTGTTAGATGATTTGTTGCTAAATATAGAACTTGTCGCTCTATTAAATATTTGACTTAATGTTCCTTCATTTTTTGGTGACTTATTTTTGGTCATCAAATATTTTTTGTTCCTTTTCTTCGCAGAGTCATCTGTATTGCTCATATTGCAATCACGAGAATCTGAATCTTCATCAGAAATTTCATCTTTAACTGCATCTTTTTCTTCGCTGGAGTCAATTTAAATAATATTTGAAACAAACCAAATGACATCAAGTTTTAAAATTGATCAAACATTGATTGAAGATTTAATGCATTGGAAGGAACGAAAATGATAAGTTAATATCACGGAAAAGCCATATACTATAAACTAGAAAAACTACTTACAAGTTATTTATATCTCTGTTCTCGTTCATTATTATAGAGATTTTCGCAAAGTTTAATTAGGATAATTAAATGATTGAATATTTAATAGTTTAAATCTGTTTAAATGAAAATGATATAATTTTAAACTTCTGGATTTACTAATGATTCAATCTTAAACAAATCATATAAAATTTTTATAACAAGTTATAGTTTTTACAATGAACATCAGGATTTTATATCTTTAACTCCTAATTCTTAGACCCAAACTGTGGAAAAATCAAAAACTTGTTATATTTTAATTTTAGTAACTCACTCCCTCGGCTAATATTGCTCTTATTAAAGATATAGATACATTTGTATTGGTAAAATGCAGGAATTAGTATTTGTACACTTACACTTTCAAATTATCTCGAAATCATTTTTCGAAAATTGTTAAATTTAATGAAATAGTTTCAACTTTTTAAAGAAAAATTTGATAAATAGTCAAGAATTCAATAAGCTCTTGGTTTATGCATCGATATTTTATCTTATTCCATCCAACTTAACTATGTAAGTTAAGTTAATTTTCAAAGAAGAAAATGTTAAAATTAGCAAACAAATATTCAAAAAAATTTTATGTTTGTGCAAGTTGTTCACGAAATTTTAAAGTAGTATTAGTAATTTTCGAAAATTCGAAATGTGTAAATACAATTTTTTCGAAGAATAAAGACACAATATCCATTTGACAAAATTTTATTAATCAACATTCTTTCTGTATCTATAATTAAGTACAGTAAAATTGGAAATCAATGAAATGCAGAAATAAAATATAACGTGTAAAACAGAGATCGAAGTCGATAGGGTCGATAGGGAAGTCGATGGTTGACTCGAGTCGACTTCGAGCTCTGGTTTAAAAAAAATAATTTTATTTTTTATCCATAAACTCTTCAGTTGTTTTTACTGCAGGATTCGTTGGTTTTTTAACTTCCTTTTTTTTATCTTTAGTTTTTGTATCTCCTGCGCATTCATCTTTCTTTTTGTCTTTTGTATTATCTACCATAACATTTACACTAAATAAAAATAAATATTTTATATTCCTCCGAAAATTTTTTATCTTAGTGCCTGTTCACTTATTACGTAACGCGAAAAAATGACTTCTTAGACCCCCCCCCCCCCCCTCGTAACAAAGTTTGTATGAAAAAAAAATTTCCTTGTTTGAACCGTAACAAAATCTTAGACCCCCCCCCCCCTCCCCCTAAAAGCGTTACGTAATAAGTGAATGGCCCCTTATGAAAAAATGCTAGTCATTTGTTACTCACGCCAATCCATTGAAAATTGCTTGTTCATCTTTAGGTGGAGTTGCCATTCCTTCTTCATCACTACGTAGAGGAGACATTCTTTCATTGACCTCGTTAATTATTACTTAAATTTAATATTCTAAAGCTAATCTATTTATTTGAAGAGTTTTAAAGAAATATTTTAACTTTTTGACCAATTCAATCTTACTTACATATGCTCTCGAAATTCGAGCAGAGAATGATATGTGATAAGGACTGAAAAATATTATTTAAAAGTAGGGTAAAAGATTTGTGAATTGGTGCTTTTTGAAATTGGTGCGAACCAGTTTTCATATTTTTCTTAAATTCGACATAAATGATTAAATTCTAAAGCAGTGCTGACTTTTAAAATAATTAAAAAATATATTGTCTGATATTTTGAACAATTCGTTATTTTTTAAATGGTCTTTGATTAAATCAGATAGAAAGTTATGGCTCTTTAAACTTCTTGTCACCATTTCGCATGTCTCCATTTACATATTTTTTACCCTAATATCAAAAGATTAGAAGTATAACAATTGATATTAACCGAAGTATAACAGTGGTATTGTTTAAAACTCGACAATAAGTCGATTTAAATCAGTGTTGCAAATTTAGATGTCTACACTAGATGAAGAATGTAGATTCTTCAATAGTTTTTGTCTAGCTAAGAAACTTTCTTCATAAAGATCGATTCTACATGAAGATAGAAAATCTAATCTACACAAAGATTATTTGTACATAAAGATTCTGTCTACATTAAGATTCGATGTAGATGTCTACAATTCTACATTTTTTCCAGGTCTACAGCAGGGCTATCTGCTTAGTGAGCTTGTGGTATTAGCCAGCAATCGCGTTAGATTCAAAAGTTTCGTAAACGCCCTACACTTCAAAGTGGAGAAAAAGAACACATTTATTATCATAAAAGTATAAAGATATTTTATTAAAATTCTTAAAATCGCGTTTCTTTTACACTTAGTCTTTTGCACTAAGTTGCTCCTTCAATTTCAATAATTTTCCAATCTTCAGATATTTTGACTTTTAACATTTAAATCAATTGTTTCCTCATGTGAAGCCTCCACAATAGGTTTATCGATTTGTTCCTGAAATTGCTCATCAGTATCTAAAGAAGTGTCATGTTGTGGGGAATTTATACTCTTTGAAGCTGGACATGCTCCTCTTATTGGTGATTTAAGTTGTTTCTTTGGATGCTGGGTTATAAGTCCAGAGATTATAAGTCCAGATACAAAAATGGTGCACAGAAAATTATAAGTCCAGAAAATCAAAGTTAATAAAGGTTTATATGTCCAGATACAAATTGCACCTGGACTTAAAAACCTCACGTGCAGTTAATAAGTCCAGGTACAAATACAGCTGGAATTATAAACTGCACGAGAGGTTTTTAAGTCCAGGTACATTTTATATCTGGACTTATAAACCTCACGTGTGGTTTATAATTCCAGAAAATTTATAAATTTTACTTATAAACTTCTAGTGCGATTATAAGTCCAGATTCATTTTTCTGGACATATAATCCTTGAAAATTATTTGTGAAACTATTTCAATTTTTTCCTTTAAAGCAATTCTACAAATGAACTTTTCTGATTTTTTTTTTCCTCTAAAGTACCTTATATATCCTTTTCAGCTGTTGTATTTCATTAAAATCATTATAATAAATTAAACGTTTTATCTTCCAAATCATTGCTTAAATTGAATTTTAAGGAAGTTTTAGAAGATAAATCAATTTTTCTGATGTAAATTTACATCTCTGAAAAACTTCAGCTTTTATTTTCCTAATACGTTCCAAAATTTTATTTTATATAACGTGGCAAGTCAGATAAGCTTCGCTTAGCATATGGTTGAGATTTAAAGCTTAACAAACATTCTATAATGTTTTTTTTAAAAAAAATTTATTAACCAAATTTTAATTTTATAAACAACATTCTAATCAAAGAAATTATTGGTAATTAAAGTAAAACTTGATTTTTTAATATCATTTCCCACGGATTTGCCTTAAGCGTTGGTATATTACATTAGTTGCAATAAAATTATTCATTTTTCTGTTAATTGGGTGTCTTTCAAGACAATTTAAGTATGCAGAATCATAGAAAATGATAGAATGAACGGAATAATAACCATTTTGATCGAAACCCAACTAGAGTCATAAGAAAAAGCGAGATCGTTTGTGGAGTGTTGCATAGACCGGGAAAATAATTCTACAGAATTCTGGTAAAAAATTCTGATCAATTATTCTAGCAGAATATTAAAACAGAATTTCCAGAATTCTGAAAGCTTATTCTGATGATTCTGATGACAATTTTTTTCCATTTACCAAAATAAATTTTGAAGAATTCTGATTCAAGCAGAATTTTTTTGTCAGAATTCTGATAATTTTAAAATCTACTTTTTTAAAAAAATGTATATCAAGAATGAAATTTTTTAAAGGTTTTATTAAAAAAAAACTTTATTCATAGTTTATATTTAAAATGAGTGTGTTGCATAGGATAGACAGAATAATTCTGCAGAATTCTGCTCAACAGTTGCGCAATAATTCTGCAGAATTATTCTGATAAATTCTGCAGAATAATTCTGAAGATTAATTCTGATGAATCTTCAACAGTATAGAATTTTTTTTTCAGAATTTAATTTCCAAATTCTGCATAATCACTCAGTTTAATCCATATGTTGATTTTACAATTACATTTACACGTTGAAGAAAGTCTTTAATCACATTCTCATAAAGTAATTCATCAAAACTTTTAATTATGCAGAATTTGGAAATTAAATTCTGAAAAAAAAATTCTATACTGTTGAAGATTCATCAGAAATAATCTTCAGAATTATTTTGCAGAATTTATCAGCATAATTCTGTAGAATTATTGCGCAACTGTTGAGCAGAATTCTGCAGAATTATTCTGTCTATCCTATGCAACACACTCATTTTAAATATAAACTATGAATAAAGTTTTTTTTTAATAAAACCTTTAAAAAATTTCATTCTTGATATACATTTTTTAAAAAAGTAGATTTTAGAATTATCAGAATTCTGACAAAGAAATTCTGGTTGAATCAAAATTTTTATATTTTCCATCAATAATAATTTACTTTTATTATAAATGATGAAATTTGTCAAAAGTGTAGCTTGAAAGTTCAGAATTACAGTATTTTCGATCAAAAATTTTTTGTAATTTCTTAACGGATTAGGAAAATTTAAGCTCTTGCGTTCCTTTTTGACAGAAAATTGACGTTCGGAGAATCGATTTATCTCGATAATTAAGCTTTATTACTGGAGTTTGGAGCATTTACATTTCTAAACAGATCTTAATCTATCATTAAGTGTACATTTAATGCTGCAAATATGTGGATTTGATATGCAACTATATGAAATTTTTGATTACCCTGTTGAAACTTTTACAAAATTCTATTTTGTCACAAAGCAACGGGCCGAAGAATTCAAATATCTTAATAATTAGGAAATAAAAAATTACATCAGATAAACTGAAAAGCTTGTAAGGTTTAATGAAAAATTTCGACAAAAAATTCATTTGATGTCAAAATTTTTGCAATTTACCCTACTGGAATCGCCTATTGTCAAATGCATAATTTTTCATAATTAATAAAGAAAAAAAAAATCGAAATAGTTTCACAAATAATTTTCAAGGATTATATGTCCAGAAAAATGAATCTGGACTTATAATCGCACTAGAAGTTTATAAGTAAAATTTATAAATTTTCTGGAATTATAAACCACGCGTGAGGTTTATAAGTCCAGATGTAATATGTACCTGGACTTAAAAACCTCTCGTGCAGTTTATAATTCCAGCTGTATTTGTACCTGGACTTATTAACTGCACGTGAGGTTTTTAAGTCCAGTTGTAATTTGTATCTGGACTTATAAACCTTTATTGACTTTGATTTTCTGGACTTATAATCTCTGGACTTATAGTTTCTGGACTTATAACCCAGCATCGTTTCTTTGCAACATTTGACTTTTTTTTTGGGACCAAACTTCTTAATGATCGACCAATTTTTTTGTTTGAATGATGTACATTTATTTTCATCTAGACAGTTTCGAGTATTAATGTCATTGTCAGGTTCCTTTACATGGCTACAAGTGAAAAATTTGAAAATAGATATTTTAAACTTTGAAAGGGCTGTTATTAATAATTTGACAATTACTCATTATTTTTTTCCTCAACGTCATCCGATGTTTTAGTTAAGTCTTCAAGTTCATCTTCATTTTTTAATTCAGTTCCTGACATTGTTTTGAAATTTTTAATTCAAAACTAATTTTGATTGATTATTAAAACATTATAAACAATTGGATTTGTACTTACTGCATAAACATTACTTAAAGAGTTACTTTTTTATTCTATTTCAGTTGTCTCTTATCTTTTGAATCAATTCACAATATTCGAATTTCGCATTTAAATGAATCACAAAAGAGAATAGAACTCATAACTTACTCATAACAATGTTATACGGAGAAAAATGTTGAAATTTTTTTAAGCATTTTAAAATTAAAGTGTAATTTAAAATTATTTTTGATTGAGATTATGAGATTATGAGATTAATGTTTAATGTGATCTTGTAGCTTAACACTTTAGTTCTAATATGATCTTAGAAATTGTCTCAACATTACAAACAACCATAAGATTTAACAGCAGCCTGCTGATTAAAATAAATTTATTTAAAGCATGTTCTTAGATCAGTTCTTAGTTCAAAAAAGATTTACAACTTGATTTTTTGGATAGCTATGAGCTTTGGCTTTTTGAGTCTCTTGAAGTACTTGTGGACTTCTTCTTGCTTTTACTCTCCTGTTTTTTCCTTAATTTTTCGTTTTTCTTATCGTCTTTTGTAACTGAATTTGATTTGTTGCATTCAGCTTTGCCATCAATAGTTTTCTTTTTCGAAGCTTGTTGTCTTGAATATAAAAGTTTTTATAAAGTCAATTTGATTAAGCTTGGTTCTATTATTCCTTACCTAGTTTCCATTTTAATAAAAATTCAAACTAAATCCTTAAAAAACCGAAATAAAAAATTCATAACAAGCCTTATACACTCATGGAGATATGATTATATACAGATAAATTCGAAAACTCACACTTAAGTGACGATTTACGCATTAGAAATATTTTGTCATTTTAAAAAAAATGAAAAAAACATATGAAACACCGTATAACTTTAGTCATATGTATGTGATTATATTCATAAAAAATGTCTTTTGTTTTAATAAATATCTATTCTACTTCAACTTTCTTTACATTTTTATTAACGTCAAATTAAAAAAAATTATTCCTAAAATATTAATAAGTAATTGAAAAAGTTGACTGTCAAATTAGGACAATTTTTTGTCGTTTTGTCATGAAAATTAGATTATTCATTTCCAATTATACTATGCTTAACTATAAACTTAATACTGTATTAAGTTTTAAAAGATAATTGAGAAACTTAATTTAAATATAATGATGATATAAATTTAACAATATTCCAAACAAAATAAATTCTTTAGGGGTCGTTCTGTTATAACGTCCGAAATTAAAGGTCATTTTTCAAAAAGAACAATAAATTTCCAGAAATTTCTATTGTTCTTTTCTTTTTAACCCCCCCCCCCCCTCCCTCTCCTTGGACGTCGTAAGTGAACGGCCCCTTAACTCATTCTTATTAATTTTTTTATTAATCAAACATTTCAGTCCATAAAACATCACAAAAAATTGTGAAAAAATAAATTACAAAAACACAACTTTAATATTCTTCAACTAGCATAAATCGACAACGCCGTTGCAATTTAAGAGCTCTTTTTCAATTACCATGAGAAGAAAACTTTCTTAGATTCTGATTTATTTTGAGCAACACTGTCTTTACGGTTTATAATAATTCATTAATAACCATTTACCCTTTACTGTTGTCCATTTTCGCTTGAAATTTTTAAAGATTTTAAAGATGAAATTGAAAATTAAATTCAATCATACGTGAATTTTGTTAAACTTTGACTGTTTAAGATAAGTTTGGACACATTCTTAGCGTATAAATACACAAAACTTATAAAATTTTAAAAATACTATACAAATTTACGTTTTAAAAACTCTTGTTTTCAATGTTTACGATCGGAGCTTAAAAAATAAAAGATTTGTGCACACAGATAACACATTCAGTATGACAAATACTCACACAAATTTTAATAAAATAAAAAAAAAAGCTGTGGAGCGAATGAGATTGAAATTGTTTTCATTTCATTTTCGGAGGAAATATATTTTATTTTTATCTAATATTTTCTAATGCGCTGTGTTTTAAAAAATTATTGAAAGAAAAATTAATTTTGAATGAATTTAGCTGAAAAAAGAAGTTAATTCAAAAATTTTATTTTTGAGAGTTTTAATATTTCAGGATTTAAATGTCTTCACAGTAAGACCGTTTCAGATTAGTGATAAATTTATTAATTTTTCTTATTAAATAAATTGCTGATATTGGAAGTAAAGCTCTCAAAAAGACCTGGTTTTGGATCACTTCTTGTTATTTTATTCTTAAGAGATTTATTTTTCTCTGCGTCTGATGTCTTTTTGCAAGGCTTTAGAAGACATCGAGATATTTCACCATTTTCTGGGTCTTTGTCATCCAACTTTTTCTTTTTTTCGCAACTAAAATTTTAAAGAATTAAAAAATATAAAAAAAATTAGGAATTTTTCTACTTTACCTATGTTCTTTATCTTTGTGGCACTTCCGATCAGACAAGTCGTTACAATCACAACCACCGCCCAAATCAGAGCTTGAGAAATCTAATGAATTTTGTGAAATTTCTGTTGATGTTTCTAAACTTTTATGTGTTTTTGTTTCCATTTTAATGGGTGTGAGAAGTCTTATTTTTTTAAATTACGTATTAAAAATGTGAGATTTCTAATTTCATGAAATTTTTTTGTTGAGATCCCAAATATTCCTTTTTTGGAAACTTTTAAATTATGTTATATTGATGCTTTCAAATGTCTTTTTAGTTTGCAATTGAATTTAAATTCTATTTTTTTTATTTTTTTTTTTTCTTTTTTTTCCTCTTGATTAAACTTTTAATTTTTCTTTTCAGTAATTTCAGAAGTCATCCCCCATATAACTTGTTATATTTCTTTAAGTAATTTTTCTCTTGGATTATCCTTCTTGAAATATTCAGGGCTGGTGGGTAGGGGTAAAGGTTGAAAAATTTCTGGCTACGACTATGATTAAACCTTTATTCATACTTACTACCTTTACCAAGGCGCAAGTTCATTTCTGCAAAACACAACAACTTCAATCACAACTCAATAATAGAATTTACTTTAATTTATATATTCATTAATAAATGTATTGTTGATTTTGGAATTCGGAGTATCAATGTATAACTAAAACAATAAATTCTAAAACGCTGACTTATGTTCCTCATATTCAATCTGTTATGATCTATAAGGAAATTAGCGGTACGTTGACAACTCCATCCCGCCGCAAACCATTTCGTGAATTTATTTTTCCTATAGATTTTAAGAAAGTTAACAAAGATGCGTAAGTGAAGAAAAACATTTACTTTGAAAGATATTGATCAGCTGATTTCAAGGTCAAGTTTTCGAAATCAGCTGATATGAAAAAACATAAGCAATACAATTTGGATGTATTAGTTCATATATGTTCATATGTTTTATTAAGATCATCAGAACTGTCTGATTTTGACTTTTGATGATAAATCCAATAATAAACACACTCAACACTTCTACAATGTTTTTCATCTACTTTCATCTTAACTTTTTTAAAGTTCAATGAGCTTTAAGTTTCAAAATGAATATTAGGTTAAATCTTTGTTTAACAATAAATTTTCAAAGTGTATCAAATATTTTATTGAAAATCTTTCATTTTTGACAGTAAATTAAATGTAACAAATGAATTGTTAAGTTATCTCTATTTTCCTGAATTCTTAGACTGATCTGATTGATTTGAATTGCTTGACTGATTTGATTTATTTGATTGTCCTGATTGATTAGATTGTCTTGACTGTTGTGATGAATTTGCATTTCTTGAATTATTTGATGTGGAATCTCTAGAAACTGATGCTTGCAAAAGTCCTTTGTTTTTATTTGCAGCACTGTTTCCTTTATTTAATTGAAGAAATTGCCTCGAGTTGTCTTCATCCTTGTCATTCATTTTTACTCACACTGAAATTATTAACAAATTGATTCCTTGTAAACGATATATTATTCTGCTAGTTGCTGTTATAAGTAATTGCACGTATTGATTGTGCTTAAAATTGTGTGCGACGAATTCGCACTTACAAAAAAAATATCTTGAATTTTGAAGCTGTGCATGAGAATTAACTCATTTCAATTATAAAATCTGCTTGATAAGAGAAAATGCATAGAAAGCGAAATACACCAAACTAATTGCAAAATTTGTAGCTTGATCAACCTATTACTTGATTAATTGTTAAATGAAAGAACTGTTGACTTACCTTCTTAATTTATAAATGGATTATTAATTTCAAAATACTAAAATAAGAGAACGAAAAGCTGTTTTTAAAAGAGAATTAAAATTTGATGTTTATTACAGAGAGAATACAAAAATAAGAGACTTACAATTTGAAAACATCTTATATTTTGTTTTGAATTAGTTAAAAATTGTTTAAACAGTTATTGAGTTATTCCTAGATATTTATTTGAAAAATGCAAAAACTCTTAGAAAACTGATTAGATTAATTGTTCAAGATAACAAATTCGCTATGATAAATAGAGATTAAAATGTGAAAGAAGAGCATAATAACTTAAGCAGAGTGCTTGAAATCGTGAACAATGTTTTTATTCAAAATATTTTTAACTTTGACTGTGATTTGACTTAAAAAAATAACCTTTTTATAAGAATATTAAATTAAATTATTTAGTGATCAGAAAATTCAAGTTCATTGAAATCGGTCCAAGATTTAATTCGCTTCATTTTAAAATTACGTTTATTTCACAAAACATTATTAATCACATTGTGCCACAAGTGATTAAGTTTTGCTACTGGTATATTTTGATTGTCCAGATGAATTAGTAGAAGTTGATTTACTCCCGTTTACTGACAGTTGCTTCCTTATATGAACTAGATTCTTTGCATTTGCATTCTGTCGTTTATTCTCGGTTAGACATGCTCGACTTCTTTCTTCACGTTCAGTTTTATCATCCATTTTACGAAATGTCCTAAAATTTAAGAAGAAATTTTAAATTTAAGCTAATCGATCCTTATATGAGTGAACTAAACTAATAAGATTCGATCAGAGTTTAATAAGATGTTTACATGCTCTTAAGATTAAAAGAGAAAATGAGAATGAAATATTCCAAAAATTAAACCAGCTCTTAGCATGTACTGCGCATTGTATTTATAAAAATATCCTATGTATTGAGAGTAATGATTATGTACACAAGATTAAAACTTAACTCTTTAAGTCCTATAATGTGTGTAAGATAAGCTTAAATGCACAAAAAGCATAGGAAAAATTAAATTTTGTGTTTTTGAATACTTAAACAAATTAAAAACTGTAAAAAGTTGTGTAACTTCTTTTATTTAATTAATTCAAGACGAACTTACCTGTTTGTTTGTATGTTTATCAAAAAATTGAAGACAAATGAACAGACGTAGCGAAAATTTCGAAGAAAAATTGAAGATGTGTTTGTATATTTTTTTCTTTTTCGAAGAGAACGATCAGGGAATCACCGGATTTTTTGCATGCATCTAAAACTCTCTGGGACTGTTTTGTAGAGGTTTATTATATGCTTTCTCGCTATCGGGATCGGGATCGGGATTTCCCGGGATTTACCGATCCCGATCAATCCCGGGATCCCGAAATTTATCGGGATCGGGATTGAAAATCCCGGTTATTTAGTTTAGGAAATTATTGATGTTTTAGAACCTGCTAAATACGCGACAGAAGAATTATTGCGTAAATCAAACGATTTATTAATTGCTGAAGGAACAATTAACTTTTTGCTAGACGAATTGTTGCTACAAGGAACATTATTGTCTCAAAAGGTTTACGATATGAATTGCGCTCGCATAGGTGCACGAAGAAATGGAACATTAATTGACTTAATACTTTACCTGAATAATCCTCAATATATTTCTTTAGACAAGCATTTTAAATCGTCAACAAAAGCTGCAATACATAAACTTGGCATTGACTTATTGAAGAAGTATTTTGTCAAAAACTCTACAAATGGAGCTATGGAAGCTTCAACATCCAGTGCAAATCAAATCCAACCGTCAAACATTTCTATTCGAGATAGACTGAAACTAAGCATATCTGAATATACATCATTAACAACAGATGCAGCAGCAACAGAACCAAATAACTTGAAAAGAGAGTTTAATTGGTATGACAAAAATAAGAAGAGAACCGTTTTATTAGATCAACTTTACGATGCATTGATAACAATGCAGCCGACCTCAACTCAAAGCGAACGAAATTTCTCTATTAGTAACAACATTCTTACAAAACAAAGAAAACGTTTACTTGACAAGAATCTAAATGCAATTGCATTTGTTAAAAGTTTTTTCATTAATGCTTAATTTTTATTATTATATTCACACCGTTTTCTATAACCTTTTAACTTACATCTTTAGCAACATTTATTTTCTATTTTTGTTTATGTTCACATTTTTCAAAGGAAACATGGATTAAAACATCTACCTTGTAACACATAAAGTATAACTAATTAATTAAGGAATAAATGACCGTATAAGTAGCAAAAAAATATGCAATTTTTTTTGGGAAAAAAAGCAGAAAAATGCTGTTTTTTAAATTTTTTTACATATTCGGGATTCCCGGGATTTCCCGGGAAATCCCGAAAAATTTCAATCCCGATCCCGATCCCGAAAATTTGTCGGGACCGGGATTTCGAGAAACCATAGTTTATTAAAGATCATTGAAATAAATTTTAATGTCAAATTATTGCTTGTTCAATTTCTTGAATTCAAACAAGACATTTCATTTATAGTCAAGTTAAACCAGTCTTCAATATTTTATTCAAATCTAGTCAAGACACAAAATTTCAAAAATTAATTGACAGTTTGAAACTTTTCAGATTTTAAAATTTCAGTGCATTTTAATTTTACCAAAGAAACCAGAAAACGTCCTTGAAATGCATCTACTAATTGCTTCATGCCTTAACGTGTTGTCATAAACACGGATTTTTCACCACATGAAATTTTTTTGTGCTGATCTTCTGAAAATTTTTTGTTGTGTTGTTTGTTCCTGTCAAGAACCGAAAGCAACAGAACAAGAGGAATCAGAAGAAGCATGAAAAGTTCACAGTAAAATGTGGAAAGAAGAAGGCATGAAAATTCGAATTTTGAATTTTTTATTCTTTGATTCTTGTGTAGCATAAACCACATACAGCGGCTACCTAAAGAAGCCTCAGAAGACCATTTTTTGTGGAAGCGAGACAATTTTGAATTTTAGCGTGACTTGAAGTGACAATTGACATGTTTTGCATCAATATTTTAGGTTCTTGGCTGACATGCTTTCAGATTCGTAGCAAATTCCATTGTCCTTAGAGACGAAAATCTTGGAATGGTGGACTTGAGTGCTGAGAAGATCAAATTTGAGTATTGAAATTTTTTAAAAACTTATTCCTGAATTTCTTATCAATTTCCTCTTTATCCAGTTTACTCTCAAACTTGACATAGCATATGTTGCAAATTATTTACAATTCCCTTTCAGACCTCCTCAATCACAAAAAAAAGGTTTCACAAAAAACTGTAAAAATTTCTCAAAATTGCCAGCAAACAGTATTTTTAGTAAAACTTCTGCAAAAATTGTTTTATTGCGGTTCAATTTGCGAATGTTCAATGCTAAAATTTCTTCAAACCTTTCTTTTTTGTCATTTTTTCTATGTAGAACATAAAGGATTCATAAAAAGGATTTTTTGTGTCAAAGGATTTTTTTATTACTTTTAAGTTTGTGCCTTGCAGTTTTTGGTGACAAAGAAAAAAAAATTTTATTGCAAATTTTTACAGCCAAAAATTGCCAGAGAACAGTAATCGCAACGGTTTATGTAAAGGATAAACAAACTGTAAACATTTATATTTTAATTATAGTCAGAGACAATCAAAGGATTTTTCATGCGAATTTCAATTCTGTCCTTGGAAGTTTTATTTTTTTGCAATTTTAGAAAATGTTTTATGGAACTGGCAATGATGATCGCAGACATGCAATTTGATTACATTTTTCTTCATTGCTGTTAAAGTTAATTGATTGGAAAATTTATGGACATTGATTGCCAAGTTTATGTGAGGGTGGATGATGCTTACTTTGTGGACAATCTATAGATTCATCTAGTTTGGTTCAACTATCTTAATGAAAATAGATTTGGTAAAAACTCTTACTTTGGCACCAAAAAAACAATCTATTGCCATAAAATAATTCCTGCGAAAAACCAAAACATTTGTGGCTGTACATTCCAAGAAAATGTGCATAAAAATTACCGAGAGGTTTCACAAACAAAGACACAACAATGAAATCCAAAAATTTTTTGTGTCTTTTCCTCAAATGCCTGACAATATCTTTCTCAATGTAAAGCTGACAAAAAAAAATCTCAAGAATTGCACTTCAATAAATAAAAACTGAAACCTTTTCCTCATTTCTCTTCTGCTGTGTTTCTCTGTCAAGACTGAAAATGAAAAATTTCTTTTGGCTGTAAAAGTTTATTGCATAAATTATAGCGTTAATAGATATTTGAGGAAAAAAATGGATATTTCAATTTCTATTGCACTCCATTATTTCGTGTTATAAAGTTTTATTGACTGTAACTAAGCATTTTGTGTCTCTTCTCTGTTTTCCATTTCACTAAAAATTTCTCCAGATCCTTACCTACTTGGAAGAGGATCTGTGAAAATTTACTGTATTTTATGCTGATTCTATCTTATCGATTCTTTTGGTTAGAATTTTTGATTTATGGCTGCAAGTGAAAGGAATCAGAAAAATAATATTCTTTGAATGCAAAGTAACAAAACTTTAATTTTTTGCAAAAACATTCAAAATTGGATTCAAAAAATTCAAGAAGATTTAAAGAAGTCATAAAAATTGTGCAAATCTTTGTCATACAAAAGGAGCAAGGAATCATTTAAAAAGTTCCAAATTCTAGTTTCAAGATTAAAATTTAAAATGAAAGAATTAAAAATCGGTACATTTTCTTTAAGGAATTGTACGACTTCCCTGTGTCTAATGATTGAGAGATCAATCTCTGGTGGGAGTTAAACTCAACTTTTCATAAAGTAAGGTTACAGTTACCCAGTCTTTTGTCTAATCACTCAACAATAACAGATTCACTTACATTTGGCTTGATCCTTGATAATCCATTCAGCTTAGACACCACAGAGGATTAAAATCTTTCTCCAACAAACTTTTGAGCCAAAACAAGGAAGTAGACATAATTTTAATTCTTATCAAACATTTTTACATATTTACAAACTCATCAAAAGATCAACATCCAGAACAAAAGACAGCGAGATGAAAATTCCTTGGAAAAAATTATCCACACCTTCCATCTTCTTTTCTTCATAAGTATGTTTCTCTCGACCATCAGCTTTATTTAATTTTTATCCAGCTTATTTCATTTTAAAAATTGACTTTTCTGTAAAAAGACTGCAAATATTTTGCATGAAGCATGTTGCGAGGGAGGATCAGTATGAGAAATATGAAATATAATCACATTAGCCACACCATACACAGTGATATCATGTTTAAAAGGATTAAATATGGAGAAAAAAATTCACTTGCTGTTCTTACAAACAAATTATGAACAATCAATCATCCAATTTATAAAAAATTGGAAGGTCTTAAAAAATCAAGCTGAGATCACAGAACAATTTTCTGTACCTATTCTATTTCCTACTTCTGTTTGTTGAGACGAGACAAAAGGAAAAAGGGCACAAAATGGTCAACAAATATTCCTTTTCAGGTCAGTCTACATAGACACATACGAAATGATTATGGTGGGCCAATAAAAATTCCTTAAAATATCAAACAATGACCTTAACTGGTACGAACAACCACAGATGAAAGAAAGGACAAAAATTTTATTTTACAATGCTCAAGAAAATGGCAAGAAGAGTTGCTTGTATAGGTAAATGACACCAAATAGTGGAGTTAAAATTTATGAGACCGATAAGCTTTTCAATGGAGCTGTAAAAGTTATTTTTTTCTTCTTTCTGTTCCTTTTCACTATTATTTGCAGAAATTACCTTCTTAACTCTAAATTATGATGGAATCATCATAAAAATTACTTTTTCTTTTCTCTACTTTTACTCCTTTCATCCCCTTTCTCTGTACTTTTTTCGGGTTGTAAATGTAAATTTTGAACTATTTTTCCCTTTTCTTTCTGTTCCTTCTTTTGGTCATTGAGGAATTTTTTTGCTCAAAGATGAGGAACTTTAAGGTATTGATGTAGAGTAAAAAAATGAGAAAAGTATTAAATTCAGTAAGTTTGAGGATCTTCTGACATTTTTTAGACAATGATGAATTTATATTCATGCGAATTGCCGATAATTTGTTTAACCCTTTCTATTGTGAACTTTCTAAATGTTTGATTTCTAATTGTTTGGTTAGGTATATTTGGTAATGTTCACATTATGCAATTGGAGTTATTACTCTCTAACCTGACAATTGTTTTTTATTCAGGTATTGTCAAATAAAACTGAACTTGCAAAAGATTTATTTGGTTTTCTTAAATTTCATAATTTTTTAAGGTTTTTGACGTACCTAAGAGGTTTTAAAGGTTCTGAAATTAAATACGTTCAAGTTTTTTGGTGATTCTGTGTATGTCTTTTTCACTGGATTGCTGCTCGAATAAATCTAATTTATGGATTTATATTCAATTCCTTGATTATTTGTAGATTCATGGTTAATCAAGGAGGCTAATAGTCTTTCTAGGCAGAAGCATACCCAGAAATTTTTTCAAGTTGGGCTTTTGAAATGTTTGGGGGTGTTTCACGAATTTTCTGTCATTTGAAAAAAACATTTAATGGTCTAATACATACCTCTAATCTAATATGGACAATGTGATTTTCTTTAAGAACTACTTCTTCCTACTAAGCTCCTAGTAAGTCAAAATAAATTCTTTTTTTATTCTATTTAGCTTATAAAAACTCTAGTAAATTGAAGTAATTCCCAAATTAGATAGATAATCTCAGAAACCATTCTCAAGCTACATCCTTGAGTCGCGGCATAGCCAGAACTTCAAGATAGCAAACAATCAAAAATAATATTTCTATTGAAAATCCAAGTAAATTTAAACAGTCTCGTTATTAGGATTTTAATTTGGCGACAGAAGAATCCTAAAGGAAGAGGTTTAGGATGAGTTGCTGCTTAATAACTCCTTTGGATGCTCCAATTATCCTATCACCCTAGCTAAAAGTTTAAAAATGAATTTTTAAAAAATCAAAGTAGAAGCATGAATTGTGAATATTCAAAAACTTTTCATTTCATCCCAACAAAATCGAAATCACTTTCCCAAAAAAAATGTTACTTTTCAGAAACTTCCAGCAACTCAATCACAAAAAAATAAAAAACAGAAATGCAAAATTGCAATCATAAAAAGTCAATTCAACTTAAAAACCAAAATCTCTTGCTCCTTTTTGGGTTTATAAGAAATTCTTCAATGCCGTGACTGAATATTTTATGATATGCTGATATTTTTCAGCAGAAAAAAGAGTCAGTCCTCTCTCAATAGTAGTCCGTCTTTATGCAGAAAAATGAGCAAAAACCAAAAGAACCATTCGGTAGCGCAATAAAAGCGAACATTTCTTTTCCTTCTTCTGTTTTTCTACTTCATCTTCATCTTCGTCATGAAAAAATATTTCTTTTAAGGATTTGAGAGAATTTCAGCTTAAAAAAGGACATGCAATAATCAAGTCATATAACGATAAAGCAATTTTCTCGCAATAAACAATTTTCAAAGTCTCTCACAAGGTCGTTATTGCACATTATAATCTTCTAATTTATTTTACAACACGAACAGCTAATCCAATTTGTGGGTCTTTGTGTACTATAGAGATTGAGTTCTGTTCAACAAAAAAATTTATTATGCGTAAAACAGATCAGTGAGCGATTCATAATTGGATTACAATTCCTCCTACAGATTATTCCCTCATGCTTTGCTGTTCTCATTCTCTTTTCTTTGTTGAAGAAATAAATTGCTCTCATTTTAATACTAAGATGGAAGGTGGATCCATAAAATGAAATGTATATTTTGTATAATATCAATTTTTATGATTTTCAGTGAACGAAAATTTCAACCGAGAAAAATTATTTTTATGTAACACAAGAAATTTTTATTGGAGATGCTTTTTTTGGGTGACAATGGAATGTGACGCAGTTTTTATGATGGATCAATAGACTTGCTGATTGCAAGTTTGAACTGAATTAATGTTGATATCCTCAAGGGACAAATATTGTCACGAAATAGGCCGATTTTATGTAATTTATTATGATACCTATGTAGCTTGGATGTAGCAACTATGTTTTTTTCTTAGAATGCTGTTCTGATTTTATAAGTTAATTGAAAGGGTTTTTTCAGATGTCTATCAAACAATAGAGTCAAGATACAAAGTTTAAAAAACATTTCCTCACTAGGTTCTCAAAATCCTTAATGCTCAATAAATATCTATTAAAACCTACAAAACTGAAAAATTTACAGCAACATATTCAAAAAACCAAGCTAAAATGTTTATTCACAACCCCACCGATGCCATGGAAGATGATTATTTTCCCCATCCTCACTCATTCACTCGAATTTCGTGCCCATAAAATCAGATGAGTAAAAATATTCTCATTTTTATCCACCAGAAAATATATAAAATGCTTAATAATGTTGAATCATGCAGCAATAAGTATGAGCGAGGAGCAAAAAAAAAGAGCAGCAGCAGTTGCCATAATAAAACTTTCTTTCCTCGTTGAAAATGTTTCCTCATCTTCGAGTTTAATAACGAGCGAAATAAAAGCCCAATTATTAAAGTGTTTTCCATCACTTTTCCGCTCATGAAAATTTTATTCAACTGCCTCTCCATTCTTTTTGGGTTCTTTCCATCTCTATCTTACTCATTCATTCATTTCGGTTCTCATCTCACTTATATCCCTTTTTATTTTTCATTATGAAGCTACTGTGCTGCTGCAGCATTAAGAAGAAAATTTTCGCTCGTGATTGCCTCGTTGGAAAATATTAAAACACATCGTCAGCCATAAAATATTTAACGCTGCTCTCTTTCTGCTTTACATCTATAGACATATACAATCTCACACACACACAAAGTGTACAGAACATAGAACATCTTTATTAAGCATAAAAAGATTTTTTTTTCGTATGAAAAAATCCACCAGAAAAATCGATTATCTCAACGATAAACGGAATATGAATGGGAAATGGATGAAGACATGATGATTCTATAATGCCTTACGTTCATTGGTCTTGATATTCTCACTGTGAGATTCTCTCTCGAATTTTTAAGCTCCGCCCGAATTTTTAAGTTGGTATATAAGGCGATGCTCATGACATCATGTATGTTATTTCACATTTCATCGTCGTTGTTTAACTAAAGAAGAAAAAAAATTTAAGTGAAGTTATTTTTCCATTTTTCTATCGTGTAAAGAATATTTTAAAAAATAAGGACATACAATTCTGGAATGAAAATTTTTGTGTAAAACGAAGAAGACAAAAATATTAAAAAAATAAATTTGTGAAAAAATTCAAAAATTGTCAAATTAGAAAAAAATCAAATAAAACAATCAAAATGCAAGGATTTCGTAATTATAGTATTGAAGCAATGCAACGCGAACAGCTTCATGTAGTGGATTTTCCAAATCAATATGGAAAAGCCACACCGCCACAATCACCAAATAGCGGTAAGTAAAAAAATCACCAGAAATATTAAGGAAAATTCACTTAAGTGACTAGTCGCATTTAAATGAGATTTCAACAATAAATTGAACCTCTTTCATTTCCATCGGCGACAAAACATTTGTAATTTGAAGAACAAAATTTGTTTCTGTCTTGTTATGTTGTGTAACATTAAATGATTTATGGAACTTTAAAAGGGGGCAACCACTTGAAAATGGCCTGGAAGTCGCTCTCAATACAAATAACTTCTTCCCCGGAAATGTGTCGTCTGCCCAAAGAAAAATGTTTTTTCTTTCCTTTCGTCGTTGCGTTAATTAGCAATGAAATATTAAAGAGCGATGCTTAAGTGAACGCAAAATACCACTTAAGATTAAAAGAATTAAGCCTAAAGACTTCAAATAATTCACATCGAGCATCTGGCAAATTTTTTCATCAAATTATTACTAAAATTAACATCAAACACAGTTGAGTGAAAAATGAAAAGTGCTTTGGCAATTAATTCATCATCATTTAAATTAAGTTGATGATGATTTTAGTTTTTTTTTGCGGCTCATTTGGCGATTGATGACTTGATTTATTGCAATATGTGACTCGCGAGTCAATATTTTGATTCCTTTTAATTAAATTTTATTATATTTAATTAAAATTAAATAAATAAGAACCCAATAGCAATAAAATAGTCAGGTCAATAGTTTTAAATTTTTTGTACCTGCTGTAATAGAATTTCTACCTCCTCTAATAAGCTTGTTAACTTAAAATTCCAATTTTATCGGATTAATAGCTTAAAATGTGTTGTTAAAGTCTAATGTGATTATCATAATTAGATTTTTGTCTTTAGGATCATTTAAGGAAAAAAAGGGGGAAAGACCGACTTAAAGCTGACTCTAATTTTCAAAACATTTATTGTGTTATAATTAAATTAAGTCATAACTTTTTTTTGCGACTTATTAACGGTAATTTAAGAAAAAAGGAGGTGTGCGACTGCATTTAAAGAATAAAAAGTGGGAGTTTTTTGTGAGTTTTGTAAATTGATGGCTATTAAGGCAGACAACAATAAAAGTAATTAGCATAAAAGATTTTTTGTAACGGTTCCAATTCAATTCTCATCTCAAATTTTCACTGCAAATAATCAAAATTTTCACAGTCCATAAAAATACTAATCATTAAATTTCCATTACAGATTGCACGAGTCCAACAATGGAACATCCAAACAATAGCAACAATCAAGCTCCAGTAGATCCATCCATTAGACGATACAGAACAGCCTTCACGCGTGATCAATTGGCACGTTTAGAGAAAGAATTCTACAAAGAAAATTATGTTTCAAGGCCACGTCGATGTGAGCTTGCAGCACAACTCAACTTGCCTGAATCAACAATCAAGGTTTGTTTTGTCAACTTTTATTTTAATACTCGTGTGTCACATTCAATAGATCAACATGACACATTTTAAAGCGACAAGTTCGGATAGCAGAAAATAATGTGACTTTAAAGGACATGAGCGTCCATATGCTTCATGTAGAGTTATGTTTCGGTCAATTTTGTTTAAAAGACTCACATGTGCCAGTTCCTTGCTGTTTCTCATAACAATTAACAATTCTTCTTCCCTTCCTTTTTGTTGTTATTTGATGAGATCCTTACGGCATGATGTGAGGTATGAAGCTTAAATATTTAATTTTAAAGTATGAAGGGCAATTAGCAGGGCCAGCAATTAATTTTTTTCTTTACACTCTTTCTTGTTGTTCCAAAAATTTCAAGTTTCTTTGCTTTTTGTGTTAGATAAATTAGAGATTAATTGACTATGAAATATCTAGAATAGCCTTCAAAATATTATTCCCATAGTCCTTTTACTATACTTTTGAAATTTTTATGGCATTTCACATAGCTTCTCTTTTATCACGTCTCAAAAAATGCTGATATAAAATCGGTAGCAGCTCTTTTAATCAAGAAATGATAATTTAGCAGAATAAAAGACTGAAAAATTTCTCGAGATACATCCATAAAGTGCTAAGTGACCAAAAAACTTGTTTTCCTTTGACTTGGAATTTTATTGCACTGCCTCTTTTCTCTCATTTAATTCTCTACGATTTATATATGTGCCGCGCGAGATCTTTTATACAAAAACATGCCATAAAATTATTTAAAGCTTCTGCTGTCCAAACTCTTTTGACTATTCCGCTAATGAATGTGATTATTGATGAAGATGTTGATGAACATTAAGCCATTTACTACCGTTGTACCGATTGAATCATTTGAGGATTAATTTTAATTATTTCTTTCTTTTTTTATTTTAATTCAATAGGTTTGGTTCCAAAACAGACGTATGAAGGATAAGAGACAAAGAATTGCAATTGCATGGCCTTATGCTGCTATCTACTCAGATCCAACAATGGCCGCATCAATTCTTCAGGCATGCGCAAATTCAGTCGGTATGGCACCGTACGGATATCCACACGCACCACTCATTCCACAAATGCCAGTTATGCCACCACAAATGCAATCAGGACATTTTCCATATGCACCATACCGTTATGCACCATATCCAATTCCACCACCACAAAGAACGCCTGGATCAACACCACCATCATCAGCACAATATCCATTATTAAATGGCAGTCTCACGGGATCAAATCAAATGAATTATGGACCATTGACAATCCCAAAACCACAATGTACACCACCACATGATGTTCTTCAGAGTCCAGCATCTCAACATTCAGTATTGTCGCTTTCACCTGGATCTGATAAGGATCATAATATCAGCAAATATGACCTCAGCTCATCAAGTAATGACAATAGTCCTGTAAAATCGCTTTCATCAACGCCACAAGGCTTACTCATGACAGCACCACAATCATCACCCTCACAAACAATCTTACCTGTGACGCCAGAGAAGCCGTTGAAACTCTTTAAACCATATAAATCAGAGGTGTAATAAAGCTATAAAAATACCTTTATAATTCAACTTTGAATGTGTTGCTGCCGCCGCTGATAAATGTGCTTCTCGGTCTGATCTTTTCTGCTGCCGAAGCTTGACTGTTTGATGATCATCATCATGATTGTTAGTTGAAGAATTGAAAGAAATTAAAGATATTGGATGGCCATAAAAGAATTAATTGATAAGCTTCTTTTGGATAGCTTCTATTGGCAGTTTAAGTGTGATTGAGAAGAAAATGCTTGATTGATAATGTTTATAAATAATTTTGAATGTTTGCATGCATGTGTGTAAATTGTACATAAAAATAGATTAGACAAGATTAAAGCCAGTAATGTTAAGTGATTCATGTAAATAATTAGTTAAATTTAAAATATTATTTTATAGCTTTAAATGAGGAAAATAAAGTTTCATCTAAAATATAAATTGTAAACTTTTTTATGTTCATTTTGATAGTTCTGAAGATTCAGGAAAATAACGGAAATGAAATGGATCGTTTAGTTGCGTTTATGTTATATAGAAGGAACTGTAAATTGAATAAAAAATATATTTGACATATGAAATTTAATTACTTTTTATCTGGTTTGATTTTGAGTGATAGAATCTGCTGTCCTCTGTTTATTGAGCAATTTCAACTTAAACTTCTAGCATTTGAATCAAAACGTCTTAAGGTTTTAGTTCGTACCCAAATATACTTACTTTCGTCTATTCTATCTCTGACACATTTCTGTAAAATATGAATTTAATTGATATTTCTGACAAAAAAATCTAAATGAACTAGAATTTTTAAAATTATTTAAATTTAACGAAAAGGTTTCGAACATTAGCATGGATGATATTGTCGATACAAGCCATTTTTATTTCTCTTTGTCATAAATCTGATTTTGCAGAACACATCCAAAACTCACTTATCCTCAATTAAAATATTTCCATCTCAAAAATTCAACAATTTTCATTTGCAATGATTTCACATAATCAACTATATAATAAGTTTCTTAAAAATAAAATTAAATTGATTGCCTTCATGAACATCCGTCTTCTGTACGACAAAAAAAAATACAATTTTTAACTAAAACATCATTTAGCTATCCTCAAAATGAAATTTATATATTTCTAGAATGTAAGATTTATCAACTTCAGAGGCAGCAATAACATTTATTTAAAATACAAAGCTACGAGTTGATGCTTGTGCTGAAAAACGGAAAATTTTCATCGCATTCAGCACACCTGAGCCTCACAATTTTCTTTCTCACTCCAGCGTTTGTATATTTTGAAATGAGTTTGGATTTATTACTAGTTCTGGTAAGGTTAGCGCGTTTATTTTGAAGGAATATTTTTTATGGACCCAACCTAACCTACTCTGCCTTCAAAAAATGTTGAAGATAATTATTTTCAGGCTAAGCACATTGTATACTGTTTAATTATACTGTTTAATGAATATTGCAGCCATAAGTATCTCTGAGAAAACCGCGCAACAAAAAAGTTGTTGAAAAACCCAAACTCACTCATTCATTTTATCATCGCAATAATAAAAACCCATCAGGATGAAAAATGATGCTGAAATACAATTATAAGACTTGATTAACTGCTTCGGATACAAATTGTACTGATAATAAACCCAGATGATGTTGAATAATTTTCATTGGTGAGCGGAAGATAAATTCGTATAAAATAAAATAAAATAATGGAGTTTGTGCTTAATTGAGAAATAAAATTCAAGTTTTTAAAATGAATGTGGAAGAAAAATGGAGTCACAGAATTTCTAATCAATTAAGTAAAGCTCTAATGAGATAATTATAAAGAAAATTTTAACATTCACATACATACATAAATCATGTCCACAGCTACTAAATCCCCAAAGGCAACAACGCATTGAGTGAGAAAATTTTCATTAAGTTGTTGGCAAACTGTAAATAAACTTTCTAATAACATGCAAAAAAAAGAGGAATTATTTGTGATTATTAAGCTTATAACAATAATCCGACTTCATCTCTTTTGGCCTTTCTCGCTCTGCAATAAATTTCATTTCATTCCTTTGTTTTTGTTGTAGCTAGATGGCTTGAAATAATGAATGTTTGAGGGCTCTGTATGGTCAGTTTGGGATGGGATTAGCTTTTAAGGCAAATTGTATAATTGTTTAAGGTTTTTTAAGTACCCTTTCAAGATATTTCTCCTGCTACGTTCCTGATATGAGCTGAAATAGCTTGGTATTGTAGTTTACTCATACTGACACGTTTCAAGCTATACGAACTAGAAAAACAGTTCTTAATCATCCTTTTAAGGTTTAATGAAATGAATATTCGATTATGACTAGGGTCGATACACAAGAAAGCATTAAAACCAGGCCAGGCCACTAAAAGATGCGCTCCAAACCCCGAAAAATCCAATGAAATCTTCAACTTCTCCTGCGTATATTCCAAACGATAAAAAGTCAATCTTTTGCCAATACATCTACCATATGAGAACAATAAGTAGATGAGAGAAGGAAAGAAGTAAATGAAACTTTTAGCAGCTCAATTCTTTCGTCGTCATCCGACATAATCTCTCAAAATGAAATTAATTTTTTTTTTGCTCGTGTTGATTTTTTTCCTTCAGCTCTATATAATTTGTTTGTTTCTGTGCAGAATTTACCTCCTCGGTATGTGATTACTATTGTGTAGATGTATGTCTGATGACAAATTAAATACAGCATTTTATGACTTTTTTTCTGCCCTCCTGAGACCCACCTCCTCATATTATTGTCAATAATAATTTCATTTGTAGCACTGCTTGATTGTTTTACTTACAATATAAAAATCTGATTATTATTAATTTTATTCAATTATTCAGTAACAAGGAACAAAAGGGGTTGTACATTTTTATTAGGAGATAAATGTTTTTATATTCGAACATATGTTGAATAAAAAATAAAGGAAGATTTTGTACTTTCTGGGGTGTGATGTGTTTATAGAATAAAAAGTTTATTCATGCATAGATACATGATTGTCTAAAAGAGTAATAATGAGTCAGTTTGAAGATCGTTATTGCGCTTTATTTTTGTATTTATATCTTATTTTCTGAGGGCCAGTCGGATTGATCTAAAGACATTGTCTTGCATTGTTTGAATTGTAATGTCATTTGTTTACCTCCTAAAGGACATTCTCTGTTCTTTATGGGATATTCTTGTGCGGTTCTTTGACATATTGTCATAAGAATTGTTTACAGAAATGATTGCATAATATGTAAGTCAGCAGGTGATGCAATTCTATAGTGTCTTTAGACTATACAACATGTTTTGTCTTAAAAATCGGTTCAAACTGAGCTTTTAAGATCTGATGCGGATATTGACTTTGAAACTCGACTATCTACCCAAAAGTAAGAGCTATTCCATTAAAACTGAACAGTTGAACAGTCCAGGACGTCATCTACAATGTACCAGACTATGAACTTAGCCAGATCATGATGTAATAGTTTCTAGTCTCCTTTTATAGTATTAAATTTGTAAGAATAATAATTCGAGCCCTTTCAAAAATTTGTAACGTGTTGAAAACATTCCAAACTCAGGCTCAGACTTTTCGATAAAATAAAAAGGCACTTTCGTAAATCTCTAGCTGTAAGCAATTCATGAACCACTAAACACTATTCACTATTGCCAAAGAAAAAAGTCAAGACCAGTCTCAATTGCCAAAAAATCACTTCATAAAGCCAATCTGCAGGTCCAACTACCTACTCAACCCCTAATTTCACGATATCAAAAAATAACAAGCACAAAATTGAATGTATTTTAAAATTGTCCCAATCTACAACAGTAATTTTCATAGCGATTACATGAGATTATCTCGTAAAGTCATTTAATACTCTCATGACAATTACTTGTGCTCGAATACAAGGCAATTGTAAATATTTTGACTGTTCTAGATAAAAAATGGGAATAGGGTGAAAGCAAATTGATGATGAGAATAAGATGACTTATTAAGAAAAGGGGTCGATGCGCATTTTATGATGTTGAATGGTAAGTGTTAAATTATTTTTTTGGAAGTGAGAGCAACAGCTAGGGTTGTAAACAATTGATCACTTGCTGCAATTTTTTATGAGCCCGAGACTGATGAGAGAGATTTTTTTTTTATCTATCCATTGAGAATTTTTCACAGTTATGAATTTGATTTATTTTTATGGGATTGAAGATGAATTTTTCGTAAAAGGATTGTGAAATTTTGAGATAAATTAGCAACATCAATAATAATTTATTGAGTCTATATCATCCAACATTCGCTAGAATATTACGTCAATAAAGCCCACACCCGTTTAATTTTCAATAATAATTAACTTCTTCATTGGAATTCTCACATATTAATTCTCATCTCATCTTCTCGTGACTGAATACCTAAATTAACGCAAATCTCATATCATAACATGTTTTGGAATGACATCCAATTATAAAATTATCGAACAGTAGCAAAATAGATAGCCGAATAACATCCATGGAAGTGGAAATTCACCTGTTCACTTATTCTTATAAATTCATACTAATCATTCCGACCTCTTTCTCATTGGAATATCGTCATTCAAAATAACTAATTAATTATGAACAAATTAAGTTGTTTTTATGGCCATAGCAATTAGCTGCTTTTAAGTATGTGTAGAGTCATATTTTTGCAGAGAATGCATGATCAGTCAATTAAGATAATTTATTAATAATTTTATATTTTTTGTTCGTCTTTTGTTGAGTAATTAGTGTGGTTTTTGGAAACATTGGAGATTGTTGGTGAATAAGGCGCATTTTAATCAGCCACTTTCAGGTACCGTTGCTGTATGTAGGCTCAAATTTGACCTGTTGTTGATTATAAACCAGTAAGTAAATACCTGAGATGTCTAAAGCAGTGTGGTAGAGACCATACCTTCGCACTGGCAGATTCAACTATATTCATCATACTCCAAAGTTTCTCTGCTATGGCATTCCACTATATTTGTCCTAATGAAACTAAGCAATGAACTATGACAGTCAACTATGTTAACCAGACTCGATTATTGCACTTATTTGTCAAACACTTAGACTGTACATTTATAATTGGTCAGTAATATTGGCAATGAAGAATCCAAACCTTTCAATCCCATTGAAATCTACAGTAACAATTCAAAATGAGTCCTAATTAATATGTATTTGCAGAAAATTGACTAAAATGATAAAACAATATCCAACTTAACCGCTAATTTGTCAATCATTTACAGTAAAAAAAACATCTCTCATCACATCATTCAACTATTTAATTGCCTTGTGTTGTCGTATTGATGGCAATTAA